ACAAGACCAAAAACAGCCAGACAGAAGATGGGCTTCTCTCCTTCTGTGCAGCATGCGAAAAATACGAACACAATGGTGCAGTGTACAGAGTGTAACAAGTGGAGACTCATTTTCTCAAAACGAAAACTTAATAAGCAGAAGGTGAAGCAATTACAAGATGCATTTAAAGATGTAGATTACACATGTGGCATGATGCTAGGTGGGTGATGTACTGTCATATTGGAATATTGATATTCATATGACTATCAGGAAATTTAAAAAACGTTTTTCAGATTTTCCTTAATATCAATTAAATTTATATTTTTATAATGCAGATGATCTTGATCTTCCGGGCATGAATGTGATGGTGAAGGATCATGATTGTGGGGATCACATGGAGAAATTGTATTATGCGTGCGAGTATGAGGATGCATGCATCTACTGCGGTGCTGCTGTGGATGGATGTGATGATGACGATGCCACTTATCCACAGTGTGATGAGTGTGATGAAGTGCCTATTCAAAAGAGATGAATTGCGCACTGTCACTGTCAAGACAGTGTGCAAATAATCTCTTTAGACTCTCACATTAGATTGCATGTATTGCATGTGCAAAGTACAACACCTGCTGTTCTGTTCCCTTGGCCTAAAGCTTTTATATATTATGCATTTCCATACGGCGTATTAAAGCGGTGGTTCTACCTCTTTTGGTATCTTAGATGACGCTGTCTGTGTCAAGTATACAGATACCAGGAAATGTACACAGTCACTGCATAGGTTAAGAACATTTTGTACCAGTTTTACAAGTATTCAGGCTGCATAAACTAGGCCAACTAGCACATCGAAATTCATGTACAGTATAAATATCTGAGATTCATTTGAAATGTTAGCATTTGAACATTTGCTTAACTCATCTAAATTAAGCTTCATACTCTAGTTATTACTTAAACATCATGAAGCATTAATGTTGTATGTTAATACACACTCTGAATGAATTATAGTAAATATAGGAATAAAGTTATGCTCGCTTAAAATGCAAATACACGCATAACCAAAAATGTAAACAATGTCAGTGAACGGTCACAGGTTAAGTGTCTGTCTGCTTTATATATTACACTATAAAAATGCGCCTAACTTTGACTTAAACCTTCGTACAGTCGTACTTTCTGCTGTTTTAGTCGGATTTCTTTTTTAAAGACAGATTTCACTGCTGCAAGCAACGCGTACGTTCTGTGCCTTCTTAGCTTTCATAACACTCAGCATTTTTCACTAATATTACGTAAAGCTACTAATATAAACAATACAGCTTATTACATGGCTGGAAGTCGACTGAATCATTTATCGACTAAACAACATCTTTTTATCTGGGGAAATAGCAGCGGAATAGGACAAACGCGAAAAACATTATATCAGGGTTCTTAATACCTTGACAATTAGGAATCTAAGAAGCGCAAACACATCTTATTGATGGCCGCATATCATGCGCTGCGGTTTCTACATAAAAGTACACATATTCATATTCAACATGGTGGTTTGTCAAAAAGTTGACACACTAAATTTTATATTTCAGCTAAATGCAAAATAAACACGAAAAACAAAAAACATACGATTCTCACCTCGATAACAAGCATTCTATCAAGCGCCCATATATCTTGTTTATACATAAAACGCAAAAGTTTTATGGAGCCGAAATACGGCTATTTTCACAGTAAATTCACATTACGCAAATACGCTACTTTGTCTTGGATTATATGAATGCGTAAAGATGGTTTAATTGGGTATATTAGGTATCAATTTGAAGCCCAAATTCTGAATTTTTCGATTTCCCCTCCATTTTGTCCGTACCCTGTATCAATTTCTCACAAGCGCCGCATGTTTATGTCGTTACTTCCTAGTAACCAGGAAAAAAAAACACGCGCGGTTGAACACGCGCGGTTGAACACGCGCGGTTGAACACGCGCGGTTGAACAGAATTTTTGGCTTCAACGCCATGACACATTTTTTGACCTTGCTGACCCGGCGTGAAATACACAATTGACTTATAACGCATCTTGATCTGGTTGAAGACTATTAGGTTTATTATCCCTTGTTTATCGCTGCCAGGTAAATAAATTGACGGTGACTCGAGGCGTGTGGCCTTTTTTGGATTAAATTTTATCGATCAGTTCATATCTTAGATATTAATTTTACCTGGACTTGATGTATAAGAAGGCGTCGTATCTGTTAACAAAAAAATATATTTTTTTTACATTCTCAAAGATTATAATCACTGTTTAAATTCTGTCAGCTGTTAATTAGCCAAACAAGTGAAACAACTTAACAGCTTAGTATACAAAGAAGACCATTTTTAAACGCCAAAAATTCGCAGTTCGCTCACCTTAATTTTCAAGAAAAAGATTAATGATTTTACCTGGATTAGATGTATTAGAAGATCTTGTCGCGTTGCCTATAAAGAAAATAAATGTATGTAAATGTAAATGTGTGCCATAAATGTAACTGGCTGCAAATAAATTTTGAAACGGGATAAAAAGCGGCAAACAAGGGCCGAAAAGATTATGTTAAAGGAGCGAAGAGCTGTCAAACTTAATTTTTGTATCAACTATATACCTAATTAATAATGTTAGTTTGTACAATCTTTTCGACAACGAAAATTCTTCTAAAAACTGTTTTACACATCTGCAGTCGTATCGTAGCGAGATGTGGCGTATTTCCTTGTTTAAGAATCGTAGCAAAACGTGGTGAATCTTTAATCTTTATATCTCATCGATTCATTCTACGTGCGATTCGTTGCAATGCGAAACGGACCTAAAGCCTTATTGAATGCATGGTTTGTTTCTGACAATCATGCTAAGGGTTAAATTGAATCGATTTGATCGATTGAAAAACCTGCTATTCGTCGGATAACCGCATCTGGGCAGTGAAATATCAACATTTAGTACCAATTATAGTTATTACCTGGATTAGTAGTGGGTGGAATGGTGCCTGTTAAGAGAGAAGGAAATTCATCCATGTATTTTTTTTTTGTAATTTATGCGGCGGCGTAGGGGAGGTGAATATTTATATATTCAGTTCTATACCCGACGGTAGCTCACCCCACAAATTTCGTTCAAGTTACGCCACTGAATATATGTCGAAATATTTTTCTTATGCTTAGCTTTTTGAAAGGCCAGTAATAATGATATAGATTACATGTTAACGAATAACTCAATTAACCTATGGATTATTTCATTTCAATTATGTCCCTCATACGACCCGCTGCTGACGTCGACCAGGTCATTGCATGAAATGTCAAATTACGTAACTCAAATACACAAGTGCCTTATAGCATCTTGGTCGGGTTGAAGACCATTAAGTTTATTATCCCTTTGCTCATCGCTGCCAGTATATACTGCAACCGGTATAATTATATTGCAAGCGTTTGAAATCAGTTAAAAAAAAAAAAGTGTTGCCTTTTTTAGATTAAATTTTATCGATCAGTTCATATCTTAGATATTAATTTTACCTGGACTTGATATATAAGAAGGCGTTGTATCTGTTAATAAAAAAATTTTTTTTTACATTCTCAAAGATTATAATCACTGTTTAAACTCTGTCAGCTTTTAATTAGCCAAACAAGTGAAACAACTTAACAGCTTAGTATACAAAGAAGACCATTTTTAAACGCTAAAAATTCACAGTTCGCTCAGCTTAATTTTCAAGAAAAAGATTGATGATTTTACCTGGATTAGATGTATTAGAAGATCTTGTCGCGTTGCCTATAAACAAAATAAATGTATGTAAATGTAAATGTGTGCCATAAATGTAACTGGCTGCAAATAAATTTTGAAACGATATAAAAAACGGCAAACAAGGGCCGATAAGATTATGTTAAAGAAGCGAAGAGCTGTCAAACTTAATTTTTGTATAAACTATACCTAATTAATAATGTTAGTTTGTACAATCTTTTCGACAACGAAAATTCTTCTAAAAACTGTTTTACACATCTGCAGTCGTATCGTAGCGAGATGTGGCGTATTTCCTTGTTTAAGTATCGTAGCAAAACGTGGTGAATCTTTAATCTTTATATCTCATCCATTCATTTTACGCGCGATTCGTTGCAATGCGAAACGGACCTAAAGCTTTATTGAATGCATGGTTTGTTTCTGACAATCATGCTAAGGGTTAATTTGAATCGATTTGATCCATTAAAAAACCTGCTATTCGTCGGATAACCGCATCTGGGCAGTGAATTATCAACATTGAGTCACCAATTATTTATTACCTGGATTAGTAGTGGGTGGAATGGTGTGCCTGTTGAGAGAAAAGGAAATTCATCCATGTATTTTTTATGTAATTTATGCGGCGGCGTAGGGGAGGTGAATATTTATATATTCAGTTCTATACCCGGCAGTAGCTCACCCCACAAATTTCGTTCTAGTTACGCCACTGAATTTATGTCGAAATATTTTTCTTATGCTTAGCTCCTTGAAAGGCCAGTAATAATGATATAGATTACATGTTAACGAATAACTCAATTAACCTATGGATTATTTCATTTCAATTATGTCCCTCATACGACCCGCTGCTGACGTCGACCAGGTCATTGCATGAAATGTCAATTACGTAACTCAAATACACAAGTGCCTTATAGCATCTTGGTCGTGTTGAAGATTATTAAGTTTATTATCCCTTGCTTATCGCTGCCAGTATATACTGCAATCGGTACAATTATACTGCAAGCGTTTGAAATCAGTTCAAACAAAATAAGTGTTGCCTTTTTTAGATCAAATTTATCGATCAGTTCATATCTTAGATATTAATTTTGCTCGACTTGATGTATAAGAGGGCGTCGTATCTGTTATTATGAAATATTTTATTTTTGCACATCCTTAAAGATTGTAATTACCCTTTAATTTTTGTCATATGTTAATTTGCCAAGCAATGAAAACGACTTAACAGCATATTATACAAAGAACACACCACCATCTACAAAAGCTAAAAGTTCGCTTTAGTTCAATTTTTAAGAAAAAGATTGATGATTTTACCTGGATTAGATGTATTAGAAGGTCTTGTCGCGTTGCCTATAAAGAAAATAAAATAACTGAAATTTTCTAAAATTGGTAAGAGTTTTCTGACCTTCTCTCTCCTTTCACGAACCACGGATTGTCTTTTAATTTGCGCCATAAATGTGACTGGAAATCAGTCGCCTGATATTCAAATAACATGCAAAATATGTATTCGCACTCATCAAAGGTTCACAGAATACAGAAATGAAAAGTTACTGAATACAAATAAAATTGCTTTAGTTCACGACATGTTTTTGATCAATGTTTTTTTAAACAGAGGATTTTTACCAGTGGGGTGGGGTCGGGGAAAACATGGGGATAAGGCCCCTCATGATCTATATGTTAAAAGAGGCCCAATATGACTAGATCTGATTGTAGCAAATTAGGTATGAAGCCATTTTACATGCTATTCCATCTCCACTAAAGCCAAAGTTGCAAGAACAGTCGAACGACCCATTGGTATTGCGACATGATGCTTGAGAATGACAGTTATCAATTCCAAGTTCACATTCATTGATATCTAAGATATTACAATATAAAATACATAAACTCCCATATTTTGAACGGTTAAATCTATGTTTTTTAACCAAAAAGAGGAAATTATATTGCAAGGGAATTATGAATTATCCTCGTCAATTTTTTTGCAAAATATTACCAAATACCATGCAAATAATTAGTATAAAGATGCAAACCTGTGCAGGTTACGCCATCTCCGGTATAACCGTTTTCACAAATGCAGTAAAACGATTCATTCGTATTGACACATGACGCTCCAATAGCGCAGTTGTGTGTTCCAAAGTAACATTCATTTACATCTAAAATATAATATTTACATAGACATTTTTAGAATACTTCAATTTTACTACCAGGCAGTTACTCTGACTCAGAGTGTCAGTCTGTTTTGTTCTTAACCCTAATTTTCTTACGAGCAGAAAATAGAACAAACTTTTATAAGTTTTAATATTTTCTTGCCGATATATTTTGAAACTTATTTCTTACCTAATGGTGTTGAATAGTTCAGAACAAATCCCGGTGCTGACACGCTATAATCCGAGTGAAACACGATGAAGAGTTTGAGTCCAGATGATACCAGGCTTCTTGGTAATTGGTTTCCACAGAATCTGCCCAGTTTCGTCGTATTTGCTGAATCTCCATTATAAACTTCCAAATAGTCAAATCCACAACTGTAACTACCTTCCAGCTAAAACGTCATGCAATTTTTGTAAATTATTTGTCAATTTTGCACATACGAATTAAATTGATTTTAAACTGTTTAACGGTTTAAACTATACTATTCTACGAATTTCTAAGTTCAGTCAATGAAAGATTGCTAATATTCAATTGATAGTGCAATCGTCTGCTGATTAGCTCAAAGTGTACGGATATTTTTGAATGTTCTCGTTGTTGTCTGTTGAGGGTATTTGTCGCGCCAGCTTGTTATCTTTTCTACACAAGGAAATTCGCCATGAAAAGGCTTGTTTTTTTTCGAAATTCAATGAATAATAAGACAATTATTCAAGTCGGCTTTCGCAAGTTATCTAGGATATACTGACATTGACCTCTGCCTGAACATTCCGGATACCCTGCGCTCCCTCATCCAATAATTATATTGGAATCGTCACTTCTGGTGAAATGGAGCTAAGTGTTTGGTTGAGAAGAATTTACTTCCATATAAAATTCAGCTATTTATATCATAATATTTCCCCTCATGCAGTTGTCCAATAAAAAGATAATTTTGTTTTCCACTTTGAACTTATAAGTCTTAGGAGCAATAAATTAGGTAAAAGTAGCCTACCAAGAATGAAGTAAACTGTAGTAAAATTTTTCTTCCATTGGTGCTGGAAATGGTCCAACTGCAATCCATGTAGTGAGGGTATGAAAGGGGATAAAGAGGGCTTGTGAGTTTTCCAGGAGGATACAGTTGACTTTCGCCGCATAATTCTGGAAATATTATTCACACAAACTTATTGAAGGATAGAGCAAAGTGGAATTTATCGCCGATTATTTATTATTAGAATAGTAAATAGGAACATGTTCAAACTTGAATTAGCCTAGACCTATATAGGGGCAAAAGAGCATTAATTGAGGTAGGGAGCAATTATTCATATCTTCATGTTCGGCAATATTAGTTTCTTATTCCTCAATGCAAAAAATAATGAAAACGCAATGCCAAAGCCCTGTTTTCAAATATGCATCGTTAATGATAATTACTAATAGGAACTGTTACCTGGCGCTGATGTCGTAAAATTTCGTGGCATGTTTTTCGCTGTGAAGAAATAAATTAGTATAATTATTCTTCCGCATCAACTTATTTTGTTTGAGTTTGCATACTATTTAATTATGACTGCAATTGGAAATTATGGATTCCTTGTGAGTCTTGTAACAGTCATGCTAAGGGTTAATTTTTGTCTTAACTTCAACGAAATAAAAAAGATATCAAATTCAAGCGAAGAACTGCTGAGAAAAATGTGTCAACTATGGACGATTAAATCTTTATTAGCCAACACCTACGGCGGATTGCATGCATGTACGAAGGTTGGATATTCCTTTACATAGCAGGGGCCACGAAAGATCGTTAGCTTCGCGGGGGGGGGAAATTATTCATATTTTCGGGTTAGCAATATTAGTTTCCTACGAAATTTTTTTTTTATCGTCAGCTGAAATGAATATATAAATATTTGGCCTCCAGTTTCCAATCTTCCGCTGCCCTGCATCTACTAGACAATTATTGATTGTGCGCAAAAATGTTTAAAAAAGAAATAAAACATTAGGTATTAACCAACAAGTATAATTTAGATCGTTTGAAAAACCCGCTTTTCGGTGGAGAGCGCTATATCCGTCGAATAAACGCGGCTGGGCAGTGAAACATCAAAATTCACTACCAATTATTCATTACCTGGATTAGTAGTGGGTGGAATGGTGCCTGTAAAGAGAAAAGGAAATTCTTCCATATTTTATTTTATGTAATTTATGCAGCGGCGTAGGGGAGGTGAATATGCAAATATTCAGTTCTACCCGACGGGGCTGTATTTTAAGCTGTTGGACTTTCAAGTGTAATCCATCCGGCTGAATTAAATAATGAACACTCACCCCCAAATTTCGTTCTAGTTACGCCACTGAATTTATGTCGAAATATTTTACTTATTCTTAGCTCCTTGAAATGCCAGTAATGGTAATATAGATTACGGCAACTCTAGACGCACGTGTAATCTTGGAATCGGTATATATACTGCCAGCGTTTGAAATCAGTTCAGACTAAATAGGTGTCGCCTTTTTGGATAAATTTTATCGATCAGTTCATATCTTGGATATTAATTTTACCTCGACTTGATGTATAAGAAGGCGTCGTATCTGTGAATAAAAAATCTATTTTTGCACTCTCAAAGATTATAATCTCCGTATAATTTTTGTGAGCTGTTAATTCGCCAAACAAGTGAAACGACGGCACGGCATAATATACAAAGAAGACAATTTATAAAAGCTAAAATTTTACTAGCTCTGTTCAATTTTCAAGAAAAAGATTGATGATTTTACCTGGACTAGATGTATTAGAAGGTCTTGTTGCGTTGGCTATAAAAAAAACAAATAAACTTAATTTTTTACAAATTGGTAACATTTTTCTGACCTTCTCTCTCCATGCACGAACCACGGATTGTCTTTTGATTTGCGCCATAAATCTAAATGGCTGCAAATAAATTTTGAAGCGGGATAAAAAAGAGAGAATATAGCGGTTTGTATCAGAAATTTTTCTGCGTCCAGTTTGGAACAAATACTTATCGCTTTCCCAGGATGCTTTTTGTTGCTCTGACAATTTTTTGACCGATATGTTGACAATCTCTCAGCGTGATATCTTTTTAACTATTTCGGACCTTCGGACAAGATTCCTCTTGTGTCGTTAGTGTCGGGGGGGGGGCAATTATTCATATATTCATGTTTGGCAAAATTAGTTCCTTATGAAATTGATTGTTTTTACGCTATATAAATATTTGCCCTGATGTTAACGATCTTCCGTGACCTCTGTCTTCTAGATAATTATTAACTTTTTCAAGCAGCACAAAAATGTTTAAAAGATTAATAAAATTTTAGATATTAAAAAAAAATAATTTATAGATCGATGGAAAAACTTGCTATTCGGTGGATAGCGCCATTTGTCGAATAACCGCGACTGGGCAGTGAAACATCAACATCAACATTGAGTACCAATTATTTATTACCTGGATTAGTAGTGGGTGCAATGGTGCCTGTAAAGAGAAAACGAAATTCCTCTTTATTTTATTTTATGTAACTTATGCAGCGTTGCAGTGGTGGTGAATATTCATATACTCAGTTCTACCCGACGGAGCTGTATTTTAAGCTATTGCACTTGCAAGTGTAATCCGTCCGGCAGCATTAAATATATGAATACTCCCCCCCCAAATTTCAATCTAGTTACGCCACTGAATTAATGTCGAAATATTTTTCTTATTCTTAGCTCCTTGAAATGCCAGTAATAGTAATAAAGATATCGTTACATGTTAACGAATGTCTAAATTAACCCAGCGCACTATGACAGCTAAGTTGTCCCCTGCACAAATAAATTACTTCATTTAAATTATGTCGCTCATTTACGACCCGCTGCTTACGTCGACCAGGTCATTGACATATCAAATTACGCGACTCCAATACACAATTGACTTATAGCGCATCTTGATCTGGTTGAAGACTATTGGGTTTATTAACCCTTGCTTATCGCTGCCAGGTAAATAAATTGACGGTGACTCGAGGCGTGTGGCCTTTTTTGGATTAAATTTTATCGATCAGTTCATATCTTAGATATTAATTTTACCTGGACTTGATGTATAAGAAGGCGTCGTATCTGTTAATAAAAAATATATTTTTTTTACATTCTCAAAGATTATAATCACTGTTTAAATTCTGTCAGCTGTTAATTAGCCAAACAAGTGAAACAACTTAACAGCTTAGTATACAAAGAAGACCATTTTTAAACGCCAAAAATTCGCAGTTCGCTCACCTTAATTTTCAAGAAAAAGATTGATGATTTTACCTGGATTAGATGTATTAGAAGATCTTGTCGCGTTGCCTATAAAGAAAATAAATGTATGTAAATGTAAATGTGTGCCATAAATGTAACTGGCTGCAAATAAATTTTGAAACGGGATAAAAAACGGCAAACAAGGGCCGAAAAGATTATGTTAAAGGAGCGAAGAGCTGTCAAACTTAATTTTTGTATCAACTATATACCTAATTAATAATGTTAGTTTGTACAATCTTTTCGACAACGAAAATTCTTCTAAAAACTGTTTTACACATCTGCAGTCGTATCGTAGCGAGATGTGGCGTATTTCCTTGTTTAAGAATCGTAGCAAAACGTGGTGAATCTTTAATCTTTATATCTCATCGATTCATTCTACGTGCGATTCGTTGCAATGCGAAACGGACCTAAAGCCTTATTGAATGCATGGTTTGTTTCTGACAATCATGCTAAGGGTTAATTTGAATCGATTTGATCGATTGAAAAACCTGCTATTCGTCGGATAACCGCATCTGGGCAGTGAAATATCAACATTGAGTACCAATTATAGTTATTACCTGGATTAGTAGTGGGTGGAATGGTGCCTGTTAAGAGAGAAGGAAATTCATCCATGTATTTTTTTTTTGTAATTTATGCGGCGGCGTAGGGGAGGTGAATATTTATATATTCAGTTCTATACCCGACGGTAGCTCACCCCACAAATTTCGTTCAAGTTACGCCACTGAATATATGTCGAAATATTTTTCTTATGCTTAGCTTTTTGAAAGGCCAGTAATAATGATATAGATTACATGTTAACGAATAACTCAATTAACCTATGGATTATTTCATTTCAATTATGTCCCTCATACGACCCGCTGCTGACGTCGACCAGGTCATTGCATGAAATGTCAAATTACTTAACTCAAATACACAAGTGCCTTATAGCATCTTGGTCAGGTTGAAGACCATTAAGTTTATTATCCCTTTGCTCATCGCTGCCAGTATATACTGCAACCGGTATAATTATATTGCAAGCGTTTGAAATCAGTTAAAAAAAAAAAGTGTTGCCTTTTTTAGATTAAATTTTATCGATCAGTTCATATCTTAGATATTAATTTTACCTGGACTTGATATATAAGAAGGCGTTGTATCTGTTAATAAAAAAATTTTTTTTACATTCTCAAAGATTATAATCACTGTTTAAACTCTGTCAGCTGTTAATTAGCCAAACAAGTGAAACAACTTAAAAGCTTAGTATACAAAGAAGACCATTTTTAAACGCTAAAAATTCACAGTTCGCTCAGCTTAATATTCAAGAAAAAGATTGATGATTTTACCTGGATTAGATGTATTAGAAGATCTTGTCGCGTTGCCTATAAACAAAATAAATGTATGTAAATGTAAATGTGTGCCATAAATGTAACTGGCTGCAAATAAATTTTGAAACGATATAAAAAACGGCAAACAAGGGCCGACAAGATTATGTTAAAGAAGCGAAGAGCTGTCAAACTTAATTTTTGTATAAACTATACCTAATTAATAATGTTAGTTTGTACAATCTTTTCGACAACGAAAATTCTTCTAAAAACTGTTTTACACATCTGCAGTCGTATCGTAGCGAGATGTGGCGTATTTCCTTGTTTAAGTATCGTAGCAAAACGTGGTGAATCTTTAATCTTTATATCTCATCCATTCATTTTACGCGCGATTCGTTGCAATGCGAAACGGACCTAAAGCTTTATTGAATGCATGGTTTGTTTCTGACAATCATGCTAAGGGTTAATTTGAATCGATTTGATCCATTAAAAAACCTGCTATTCGTCGGATATTTCTTGGGTGTGCGTCATGTATTTGATGTGGATGTCTTTTGTACGTGGCGTTCTATTTGTCTTAAATGTAACTCATTACGTAATCTTTCTTCAGATAACCTCAGACTATGTTGTTAATGGTCTGAATCCACGTTTGTATTGTGTGTATATCTTGTCCAAATTTGTAAATAGTTATTTATGTTAACCTTGTAGCTATTGGGAGAATGCCTTGGTTAGGGTTGTGCTCTGTCGCAATCTCCCTTGTTGTCAAGTGTAATATTTAGACTTCACAACTAAAATAAAGTATATATATATATATATATATATATATATATATATAACCGCATCTGGGCAGTGAATTATCAACATTGAGTACCAATTATTTATTACCTGGATTAGTAGTGGGTGGAATGGTGCCTGTTGAGAGAAAAGGAAATTCATCCATGTATTTTTTTATGTAATTTATGCGGCGGCGTAGGGGAGGTGAATATTTATATATTCAGTTCTATACCCGGCAGTAGCTCACCCCACAAATTTCGTTCTAGTTACGCCACTGAATTTATGTCGAAATATTTTTCTTATGCTTAGCTCCTTGAAAGGCCAGTAATAATGATATAGATTACATGTTAACGAATAACTCAATTAACCTATGGATTATTTCATTTCAATTATGTCCCTCATACGACCCGCTGCTGACGTCGACCAGGTCATTGCATGAAATGTCAAATTACGTAACTCAAATACACAAGTGCCTTATAGCATCTTGGTCGTGTTGAAGATTATTAAGTTTATTATCCCTTGCTTATCGCTGCCAGTATATACTGCAATCGGTACAATTATACTGCAAGCGTTTGAAATCAGTTGAAACAAAATAAGTGTTGCCTTTTTTAGATCAAATTTTATCGATCAGTTCATATCTTAGATATTAATTTTGCTCGACTTGATATATAAGGGCGTCGTATCTGTTATTATGAAATATTTTATTTTTGCACATCCTTAAAGATTGTAATTACCCTTTAATTTTTGTCATATGTTTGCCAAACAATGAAAACGACTTAACAGCATATTATACAAAGAACACCATCTACAAAAGCTAAAAGTTCGCATAGTTCAAATTTTAAGAAAAAGATTGATGATTTTACCTGGATTAGATGTATTAGAAGGTCTTGTCGCGTTGCCTATAAAGAAAATAAAATAACTGAAATTTTCTAAATTGGTAAGAGTTTTTCTGACCTTCTCTCTCCTTCCACGAACCACGGATTGTCTTTTAATTTGCGCCATAAATGTGACTGGAAATCAGTCGCCTGATATTCAAATAACATGCAAAATATGTATTCGCACTCATCAAAGGTTCACAGAATACAGAAATGAAAAGTTACTGAATACAAATAAAATTGCTTTAGTTCACGACATGTTTTTGATCATGTTTTTTTAAACAGAGGATTTTTACCAGTGGGGTGGGGTCGGGGAAAACATGGGGATAAGGCCCCTCATGATCTATATGTTTAAAAGAGGCCCAATATGACTAGATCTGATTGTAGCAAATTAGGTATGAAGCCATTTTACATTGCTATTCCATCTCCACTAAAGCCAAAGTTGCAAGAACAGTCGAACGACCCATTGGTATTTGCGACATGATGCTTGAGAATGACAGTTATCAATTCCAAGTTCACATTCATTGATATCTAAGATATTACAATATAAAATACATAAACTCCCATATTTTGAACGGTTAAATCTATGTTTTTTTAACCAAAAAGAGGAAATTATATTGCAAGGGAATTATGAATTATCCTCGTCAATTTTTTTGCAAAATATTACCAAATACCATGCAAATAATTAGTATAAAGATGCAAACCTGTGCAGGTTACGCCATCTCCGGTATAACCGTTTTCACAAATGCAGTAAAACGATTCATTCGTATTGACACATGACGCTCCAATAGCGCAGTTGTGTGTTCCAAAGTAACATTCATTTACATCTAAAATATAATATTTACATAGACATTTTTAGAATACTTCAATTTTACTACCAGGCAGTTACTCTGACTCAGAGTGTCAGTCTGTTTTGTTCTTAACCCTAATTTTCTTACGAGCAGAAAATAGAACAAACTTTTATAAGTTTTAATATTTTCTTGCCGATATATTTTGAAACTTTCTTACCTAATGGTGTTGAATAGTTCAGAACAAATCCCGGTGCTGACACGCTATAATCCGAGTGAAACACGATGAAGAGTTTGAGTCCAGATGATACCAGGCTTCTTGGTAATTGGTTTCCACAGAATCTGCCCAGTTTCGTCGTATTTGCTGAATCTCCATTATAAACTTCCAAATAGTCAAATCCACAACTGTAACTACCTTCCAGCTAAAACGTCATGCAATTTTTGTAAATTATTTGTCAATTTTGCACATACGAATTAAATTGATTTTAAACTGTTTAACGGTTTTAAACTATACTATTCTACGAATTTCTAAGTTCAGTCAATGAAAGATTGCTAATATTCAATTGATAGTGCAATCGTCTGCTGATTAGCTCAAAGTGTACGGATATTTTTGAATGTTCTCGTTGTTTTCTTTGAGGGTATTTGTCGCGCCAGCTTGTTATCTTTTCTACACAAGGAAATTCGCCATGAAAAGGCTTGTTTTTTTTCGAAATTCAATGAATAATAAGACAATTATTCAAGTCGGCTTTCGCAAGTTATCGAGGATTACTGACATTGACCTCTGCCTGACATTCCGGATACCCTGCGCTCCCTCATCAATAATTATATTGGAATCGTCATTCTGGTGAAATGGAGCTAAGTGTTTGGTTGAGAAGAATTTACTTCCATATAAAATTCAGCTATTTATATCATAATATTTCCCCTCATGCAGTTGTCCAATAAAAAGATAATTTTGTTTTCCACTTTGAACTTATAAGTCTTAGGAGCAATAAATTAGGTAAAAGTAGCCTACCAAGAATGAAGTAAACTGTAGTAAAATTTTTCTTCCATTGGTGCTGGAAATGGTCCAACTGCAATCCATGTAGTGAGGGTATGAAAGGGGATAAAGAGGGCTTGTGAGTTTTCCAGGAGGATACAGTTGACTTTCGCCGCATAATTCTGGAAATATTATTCACACAAACTTATTGAAGGATAGAGCAAAGTGGAATTTATCGCCGATTATTTATTATTAGAATAGTAAATAGGAACATGTTCAAACTTGAATTAGCCTAGACCTATATAGGGGCAAAAGAGCATTAATTGAGGTAGGGAGCAATTATTCATATCTTCATGTTCGGCAATATTAGTTTCTTATTCCTCAATGCAAAAAATAATGAAAACGCAATGCCAAAGCCCTGTTTTCAAATATGCATCGTTAATGATAATTACTAATAGGAACTGTTACCTGGCGCTGATGTCGTAAAATTTCGTGGCATGTTTTTCGCTGTGAAGAAATAAATTAGTATAATTATTCTTCCGCATCAACTTATTTTGTTTGAGTTTGCATACTATTTAATTATGACTGCAATTGGAAATTATGGATTCCTTGTGAGTCTTGTAACAGTCATGCTAAGGGTTAATTTTTGTCTTAACTTCAACGAAATAAAAAAGATATCAAATTCAAGCGAAGAACTGCTGAGAAAAATGTGTCAACTATGGACGATTAAATCTTTATTAGCCAACACCTACGGCGGATTGCATGCATGTACAAAGGTTGGATATTCCTTTACATAGCAGGGGCCACGAAAGATCGTTAGCTTCGCGGGGGGGGGAAATTATTCATATTTTCGGGTTAGCAATATTAGTTTCCTACGAAATTTTTTTTTATCGTCAGCTGAAATGAATATATAAATATTTGGCCTCCAGTTTCCAATCTTCCGCTGCCTCTGCATCTACTAGACAATTATTGATTGTGCGCAAAAATGTTTAAAAAAGAAATAAAACATTAGGTATTAACCAACAAGTATAATTTAGATCGTTTGAAAAACCCGCTTTTCGGTGGAGAGCGCTATATCCGTCGAATAAACGCGGCTGGGCAGTGAAACATCAAAATTCACTACCAATTATTCATTACCTGGATTAGTAGTGGGTGGAATGGTGCCTGTAAAGAGAAAAGGAATTCTTCCATATTTTTTTTTATGTAATTTATGCAGCGGCGTAGGGGAGGTGAATATGCAAATATTCAGTTCTACCCGACGGGGCTGTATTTTAAGCTGTTGGACTTTCAAGTGTAATCCATCCGGCTGAATTAAATAATGAACACTCACCCCCAAATTTCGTTCTAGTTACGCCACTGAATTTATGTCGAAATATTTTACTTATTCTTAGCTCCTTGAAATGCCAGTAATGGTAATATAGATTACGGCAACTCTAGACGCACGTGTAATCTTGGAATCGGTATATACTGCCAGCGTTTGAAATCAGTTCAGACTAAATAGGTGTCGCCTTTTTGGATAAATTTTATCGATCAGTTCATATCTTGGATATTAATTTTACCTCGACTTGATGTATAAGAAGGCGTCGTATCTGTGAATAAAATATTTTTGCACTCTCAAAGATTATAATCTCCGTATAATTTTTGTGAGCTGTTAATTCGCCAAACAAGTGAAACGACGGCACGGCATAATATACAAAGAAGACAATTTATAAAAGCTAAAATTTTACTAGCTCTGTTCAATTTTCAAGAAAAAGATTGATGATTTTACCTGGACTAGATGTATTAGAAGGTCTTGTTGCGTTGGCTATAAAAAAAACAAATAAACTTAATTTTTTACAAATTGGTAACATTTTTCTGACCTTCTCTCTCCATGCACGAACCACGGATTGTCTTTTGATTTGCGCCATAAATCTAAATAGCTGCAAATAAATTTTGAAGCGGGATAAAAAAGAGAGAATATAGCGGTTTGTATCAGAAATTTTTCTGCGTCCAGTTTGGAACAAATACTTATCGCTTTCCCAGGATGCTTTTTGTTGCTCTGACAATTTTTTGACCGATATGTTGACAATCTCTCAGCGTGATATCTTTTTAACTATTTCGGACCTTCGGACAAGATTCCTCTTGTGTCGTTAGTGTCGGGGGGGGGGCAATTATTCATATATTCATGTTTGGCAAAATTAGTTCCTTATGAAATTGATTGTTTTTACGCTATATAAATATTTGCCCTGATGTTAACGATCTTCCGTGACCTCTGTCTTCTAGATAATTATTAACTTTTTCAAGCAGCACAAAAATGTTTAAAAGATTAATAAAATTTTAGATATTAATCAAAAAAATAATTTATAGATCGATGGAAAAACTTGCTATTCGGTGGATAGCGCCATTTGTCGAATAACCGCGACTGGGCAGTGAAACATCAACATCAACATTGAGTACCAATTATTTATTACCTGGATTAGTAGTGGGTGCAATGGTGCCTGTAAAGAGAAAACGAAATTCCTCTTTATTTTATTTTATGTAACTTATGCAGCGTTGCAGTGGTGGTGAATATTCATATACTCAGTTCTACCCGACGGAGCTGTATTTTAAGCTATTGCACTTGCAAGTGTAATCCGTCCGGCAGCATTAAATATATGAATACTCACCCCCCCAAATTTCAATCTAGTTACGCCACTGAATTAATGTCGAAATATTTTTCTTATTCTTAGCTCCTTGAAATGCCAGTAATAGTAATAAAGATATCGTTACATGTTAACGAATGTCTAAATTAACCCAGCGCACTATGACAGCTAAGTTGTCCCCTGCACAAATAAATTACTTCATTTAAATTATGTCGCTCATTTACGACCCGCTGCTTACGTCGACCAGGTCATTGACATATCAAATTACGCGACTCCAATACACAATTGACTTATAGCGCATCTTGATCTGGTTGAAGACTATTGGGTTTATTAACCCTTGCTTATCGCTGCCAGGTAAATAAATTGACGGTGACTCGAGGCGTGTGGCCTTTTTTGGATTAAATTTTATCGATCAGTTCATATCTTAGATATTAATTTTACCTGGACTTGATGTATAAGAAGGCGTCGTATCTGTTAATAAAAATATATTTTTTTACATTCTCAAAGATTATAATCACTGTTTAAATTCTGTCAGCTGTTAATTAGCCAAACAAGTGAAACAACTTAACAGCTTAGTATACAAAGAAGACCATTTTTAAACGCCAAAAATTCGCAGTTCGCTCACCTTAATTTTCAAGAAAAAGATTGATGATTTTACCTGGATTAGATGTATTAGAAGATCTTGTCGCGTTGCCTATAAAGAAAATAAATGTATGTAAATGTAAATGTGTGCCATAAATGTAACTGGCTGCAAATAAATTTTGAAACGGGATAAAAAACGGCAAACAAGGGCCGAAAGATTATGTTAAAGGAGCGAAGAGCTGTCAAACTTAATTTTTGTATCAACTATATACCTAATTAATAATGTTAGTTTGTACAATCTTTTCGACAACGAAAATTCTTCTAAAAACTGTTTTACACATCTGCAGTCGTATCGTAGCGAGATGTGGCGTATTTCCTTGTTTAAGAATCGTAGCAAAACGTGGTGAATCTTTAATCTTTATCTCATCGATTCATTCTACGTGCGATTCGTTGCAATGCGAAACGGACCTAAAGCCTTATTGAATGCATGGTTTGTTTCTGACAATCATGCTAAGGGTTAATTTGAATCGATTTGATCGATTGAAAAACCTGCTATTCGTCGGATAACCGCATCTGGGCAGTGAAATATCAACATTGAGTACCAATTATAGTTATTACCTGGATTAGTAGTGGGTGGAATGGTGCCTGTTAAGAGAGAAGGAAATTCATCCATGTATTTTTTTTTTGTAATTTATGCGGCGGCGTAGGGGAGGTGAATATTTATATATTCAGTTCTATACCCGACGGTAGCTCACCCCACAAATTTCGTTCAAGTTACGCCACTGAATATATGTCGAAATATTTTTCTTATGCTTAACTTTTTGAAAGGCCAGTAATAATGATATAGATTACATGTTAACGAATAACTCAATTAACCTATGGATTATTTCATTTCAATTATGTCCCTCATACGACCCGCTGCTGACGTCGACCAGGTCATTGCATGAAATGTCAAATTACGTAACTCAAATACACAAGTGCCTTATAGCATCTTGGTCGGGTTGAAGACCATTAAGTTTATTATCCCTTTGCTCAACGCTGCCAGTATATACTGCAACCGGTATAATTATATTGCAAGCGTTTGAAATCAGTTAAAAAAAAAAAAGTATTGCCTTTTTTAGATTAAATTTTATCGATCAGTTCATATCTTAGATATTAATTTTGCTCGACTTGATGTATAAAAGGGCGTCGTATCTGTTATTATGAAATATTTTATTTTTGCACATCCTTAAAGATTGTAATTACCGTTTAATTTTTGTCATATGTTAATTTGCCAAACAATGAAAACGACTTAACAGCATATTATACAAAGAACACCATCTACAAAAGCTAAAAGTTCGCATAGTTCAAATTTTAAGAAAAAGATTGATGATTTTACCTGGATTAGATGTATTAGAAGGTCTTGTCGCGTTGCCTATAAAGAAAATAAAATAACTGAAATTTTCTAAAATTGGTAAGAGTTTTCTGACCTTCTCTCTCCTTCCACGAACCACGGATTGTCTTTTAATTTGCGCCATAAATGTGACTGGAAATCAGTCGCCTGATATTCAAATAACATGCAAAATATGTATTCGCACTCATCAAAGGTTCACAGAATACAGAAATGAAAAGTTACTGAATACAAATAAAATTGCTTTAGTTCACGACATGTTTTTGATCAATGTTTTTTTAAACAGAGGATTTTTACCAGTGGGGTGGGGTCGGGGAAAACATGGGGATAAGGCCCCTCATGATCTATATGTTAAAAGAGGCCCAATATGACTAGATCTGATTGTAGCAAATTAGGTATGAAGCCATTTTACATGCTATTCCATCTCCACTAAAGCCAAAGTTGCAAGAACAGTCGAACGACCCATTGGTATTGCGACATGATGCTTGAGAATGACAGTTATCAATTCCAAGTTCACATTCATGATATCTAAGATATTACAATATAAAATACATAAACTCCCATATTTTAACGGTTAAATCCTATGTTTTTTAACCAAAAAGAGGAAATTAAATTGCAAGGGAATTATGAATTATCCTCGTCAATTTTTTTGCAAAATATTACCAAATACCATGCAAATAATTAGTATAAAGATGTAAACCTGTGCAGGTTACGCCATCTCCGGTATAACCGTTTTCACAAATGCAGTAAAACGATTCATTCGTATTGACACATGACGCTCCAATAGCGCAGTTGTGTGTTCCAAAGTAACATTCATTTACATCTAAAATATAATATTTACATAGACACATTTTTAGAATACTTCAATTTTACTACCAGGCAGTTACTCTGACTCAGAGTGTCAGTCTGTTTTGTTCTTAACCCTAATTTTCTTACGAGCAGAAAATAGAACAAACTTTTATAAGTTTTAATATTTTCTTGCCGATATATTTTGAAACTTATTTCTTACCTAATGGTGTTGAATAGTTCAGAACAAATCCCGGTGCTGACACGCTATAATCCGAGTGAAACACGATGAAGAGTTTGAGTCCAGATGATACCAGGCTTCTTGGTAATTGGTTTCCACAGAATCTGCCCAGTTTCGTCGTATTTGCTGAATCTCCATCATAAACTTCCAAATAGTCAAATCCACAACTGTAACTACCTTCCAGCTAAAACGTCATGCATTTTTGTAAATTATTTGTCAATTTTGCACATACGAATTAAATTGATTTTAAACTGTTTAAAGGTTTAAACTATACTATTCTACGAATTTCTAAGTTCAGTCAATGAAAGATTGCTAATATTCAATTGATAGGCAATCGTCTGCTGATTAGCTCAAAGTGTACGGATATTTTTGAATGTTCTCGTTGTTGTCTGTTGAGGGTATTTGTCGCGCCAGCTTGTTATCTTTTCTACACAAGGAAATTCGCCATGAAAAGGCTTGTTTTTTTTCGAAATTCAATGAATAATAAGACAATTATTCAAGTCGGCTTTCGCAAGTTATCTAGGATATACTGACATTGACCTCTGCCTGAACATTCCGGATACCCTGCGCTCCCTCATCCAATAATTATATTGGAATCGTCACTTCTGGTGAAATGGAGCTAAGTGTTTGGTTGAGAAGAATTTACTTCCATATAAAATTCAGCTATTTATATCATAATATTTCCCCTCATGCAGTTGTCCAATAAAAAGATAATTTTGTTTTCCACTTTGAACTTATAAGTCTTAGGAGCAATAAATTAGGTAAAAGTAGCCTACCAAGAATGAAGTAAACTGTAGTAAAATTTTTCTTCCATTGGTGCTGGAAATGGTCCAACTGCAATCCATGTAGTGAGGGTATGAAAGGGGATAAAGAGGGCTTGTGAGTTTTCCAGGAGGATACAGTTGACTTTCGCCGCATAATTCTGGAAATATTATTCACACAAACTTATTGAAGGATAGAGCAAAGTGGAATTTATCGCCGATTATTTATTATTAGAATAGTAAATAGGAACATGTTCAAACTTGAATTAGCCTAGACCTATATAGGGGCAAAAGAGCATTAATTGAGGTAGGGAGCAATTATTCATATCTTCATGTTCGGCAATATTAGTTTCTTATTCCTCAATGCAAAAAATAATGAAAACGCAATGCCAAAGCCCTGTTTTCAAATATGCATCGTTAATGATAATTACTAATAGGAACTGTTACCTGGCGCTGATGTCGTAAAATTTCGTGGCATGTTTTTCGCTGTGAAGAAATAAATTAGTATATAATTATTCTTCCGCATCAACTTATTTTGTTTGAGTTTGCATACTATTTAATTATGACTGCAATTGGAAATTATGGATTCCTTGTGAGTCTTGTAACAGTCATGCTAAGGGTTAATTTTTGTCTTAACTTCAACGAAATAAAAAAGATATCAAATTCAAGCGAAGAACTGCTGAGAAAAATGTGTCAACTATGGACGATTAAATCTTTATTAGCCAACACCTACGGCGGATTGCATGCATGTACGAAGGTTGGATATTCCTTTACATAGCAGGGGCCACGAAAGATCGTTAGCTTCGCGGGGGGGGAAATTATTCATATTTTCGGGTTAGCAATATTAGTTTCCTACGAAATTTTTTTTTTATCGTCAGCTGAAAAATATATAAATATTTGGCCTCCAGTTTCCAATCTTCCGCTGCCCCTGCATCTACTAGACAATTATTGATTGTGCGCAAAAATGTTTAAAAAAGAAATAAAACATTAGGTATTAACCAACAAGTATAATTTAGATCGTTTGAAAAACCCGCTTTTCGGTGGAGAGCGCTATATCCGTCGAATAAACGCGGCTGGGCAGTGAAACATCAAAATTCACTACCAATTATTCATTACCTGGATTAGTAGTGGGTGGAATGGTGCCTGTAAAGAGAAAAGGAAATTCTTCCATATTTTATTTTATGTAATTTATGCAGCGGCGTAGGGGAGGTGAATATGCAAATATTCAGTTCTACCCGACGGGGCTGTATTTTAAGCTGTTGGACTTTCAAGTGTAATCCATCCGGCTGAATTAAATAATGAACACTCACCCCCAAATTTCGTTCTAGTTACGCCACTGAATTTATGTCGAAATATTTTACTTATTCTTAGCTCCTTGAAATGCCAGTAATGGTAATATAGATTACGGCAACTCTAGACGCACGTGTAATCTTGGAATCGGTATATATACTGCCAGCGTTTGAAATCAGTTCAGACTAAATAGGTGTCGCCTTTTTGGATAAATTTTATCGATCAGTTCATATCTTGGATATTAATTTTACCTCGACTTGATGTATAAGAAGGCGTCGTATCTGTGAATAAAAAATTTATTTTTGCACTCTCAAAGATTATAATCTCCGTATAATTTTTGTGAGCTGTTAATTCGCCAAACAAGTGAAACGACGCACGGCATAATATACAAAGAAGACAATTTATAAAAGCTAAAATTTTACTAGCTCTGTTCAATTTTCAAGAAAAAGATTGATGATTTTACCTGGACTAGATGTATTAGAAGGTCTTGTTGCGTTGGCTATAAAAAAAACAAATAAACTTAATTTTTTACAAATTGGTAACATTTTTCTGACCTTCTCTCTCCATGCACGAACCACGGATTGTCTTTTGATTTGCGCCATAAATCTAAATGGCTGCAAATAAATTTTGAAGCGGGATAAAAAAGAGAGAATATAGCGGTTTGTATCAGAAATTTTCTGCGTCCAGTTTGGAACAAATACTTATCGCTTTCCCAGGATGCTTTTTGTTGCTCTGACAATTTTTTGACCGATATGTTGACAATCTCTCAGCGTGATATCTTTTTAACTATTTCGGACCTTCGGACAAGATTCCTCTTGTGTCGTTAGTGTCGGGGGGGGGGCAATTATTCATATATTCATGTTTGGCAAAATTAGTTCCTTATGAAATTGATTGTTTTTACGCTATATAAATATTTGCCCTGATGTTAACGATCTTCCGTGACCTCTGTCTTCTAGATAATTATTAACTTTTTCAAGCAGCACAAAAATGTTTAAAAGATTAATAAAATTTTAGATATTAATCAAAAAAATAATTTATAGATCGATGGAAAAACTTGCTATTCGGTGGATAGCGCCATTTGTCGAATAACCGCGACTGGGCAGTGAAACATCAACATCAACATTGAGTACCAATTATTTATTACCTGGATTAGTAGTGGGTGCAATGGTGCCTGTAAAGAGAAAACGAAATTCCTCTTTATTTTATTTTATGTAACTTATGCAGCGTTGCAGTGGTGGTGAATATTCATATACTCAGTTCTACCCGACGGAGCTGTATTTTAAGCTATTGCACTTGCAAGTGTAATCCGTCCGGCAGCATTAAATATATGAATACTCACCCCCCCAAATTTCAATCTAGTTACGCCACTGAATTAATGTCGAAATATTTTTCTTATTCTTAGCTCCTTGAAATGCCAGTAATAGTAATAAAGATATCGTTACATGTTAACGAATGTCTAAATTAACCCAGCGCACTATGACAGCTAAGTTGTCCCCTGCACAAATAAATTACTTCATTTAAATTATGTCGCTCATTTACGACCCGCTGCTTACGTCGACCAGGTCATTGACATATCAAATTACGCGACTCCAATACACAATTGACTTATAGCGCATCTTGATCTGGTTGAAGACTATTGGGTTTATTAACCCTTGCTTATCGCTGCCAGGTAAATAAATTGACGGTGACTCGAGGCGTGTGGCCTTTTTTGGATTAAATTTTATCGATCAGTTCATATCTTAGATATTAATTTTGCCTGGACTTGATGTATAAAAAGGCGTCGTATCTGTTAATAAAAATATATTTTTTTACATTCTCAAAGATTATAATCACTGTTTAAATTCTGTCAGCTGTTAATTAGCCAAACAAGTGAAACAACTTAACAGCTTAGTATACAAAGAAGACCATTTTTAAACGCCAAAAATTCGCAGTTCGCTCACCTTAATTTTCAAGAAAAAGATTGATGATTTTACCTGGATTAGATGTATTAGAAGATCTTGTCGCGTTGCCTATAAAGAAAATAAATGTATGTAAATGTAAATGTGTGCCATAAATGTAACTGGCTGCAAATAAATTTTGAAACGGGATAAAAAACGGCAAACAAGGGCCGAAAAGATTATGTTAAAGAAGCGAAGAGCTGTCAAACTTAATTTTTGTATCAACTATATACCTAATTAATAATGTTAGTTTGTACAATCTTTTCGACAACGAAAATTCTTCTAAAAACTGTTTTACACATCTGCAGTCGTATCGTAGCGAGATGTGGCGTATTTCCTTGTTTAAGAATCGTAGCAAAACGTGGTGAATCTTTAATCTTTATATCTCATCGATTCATTCTACGTGCGATTCGTTGCAATGCGAAACGGACCTAAAGCCTTATTGAATGCATGGTTTGTTTCTGACAATCATGCTAAGGGTTAATTTGAATCGATTTGATCGATTGAAAAACCTGCTATTCGTCGGATAACTGCATCTGGGCAGTGAAATATCAACATTGAGTACCAATTATAGTTATTACCTGGATTAGTAGTGGGTGGAATGGTGCCTGTTAAGAGAGAAGGAAATTCATCCATGTATTTTTTTTTTGTAATTTATGCGGCGGCGTAGGGGAGGTGAATATTTATATATTCAGTTCTATACCCGACGGTAGCTCACCCCACAAATTTCGTTCAAGTTACGCCACTGAATATATGTCGAAATATTTTTCTTATGCTTAGCTTTTTGAAAGGCCAGTAATAATGATATAGATTACATGTTAACGAATAACTCAATTAATCTATGGATTATTTCATTTCAATTATGTCCCTCATACGACCCGCTGCTGACGTCGACCAGGTCATTGCATAAAATGTCAAATTACGTAACTCAAATACACAAGTGCCTTATAGCATCTTGGTCGGGTTGAAGACCATTAAGTTTATTATCCCTTTGCTCATCGCTGCCAGTATATACTGCAACCGGTATAATTATATTGCAAGCGTTTGAAATCAGTTCAAACAAAATAAGTGTTGCCTTTTTTAGATCAAATTTTATCGATCAGTTCATATCTTAGATATTAATTTTACCTGGACTTGATGTATAAGAAGGCGTCGTATCTGTTAATAAAAAATATATTTTTTTACATTCTCAAAGATTATAATCACGGTTTAATTTCTGTCAGCTGTTAATTAGCCAAACAAGTGAAACAACTTAACAGCTTGGTATACAAAGAAGACCATTTTTAAACGCCAAAAATTCGCAGTTCGCTCACCTTAATTTTCAAGAAAAAGATTGATGATTTTACCTGGATTAGATGTATTAGAAGATCTTGTCGCGTTGCCTATAAAGAAAATAAATGTATGTAAATGTAAATGTGTGCCATAAATGTAACTGGCTGCAAATAAATTTTGAAACGGGATAAAAAACGGCAAACAAGGGCCGAAAAGATTATGTTAAAGGAGCGAAGAGCTGTCAAACTTAATTTTTGTATCAACTATATACCTAATTAATAATGTTAGTTTGTACAATCTTTTCGACAACGAAAATTCTTCTAAAAACTGTTTTACACTTCTGCAATCGTATCGTAGCGAGATGTGGCGTATTTCCTTGTTTAAGAATCGTAGCAAAACGTGGTGAATCTTTAATCTTTATATCTCATCGATTCATTCTACGTGCGATTCGTTGCAATGCGAAACGGACCTAAAGCCTTATTGAATGCATGGTTTGTTTCTGACCATCATGCTAAGGGTTAATTTGAATCGATTTGATCGATTGAAAAACCTGCTATTCGTCGGATAACTGCATCTGGGCAGTGAAATATCAACATTGAGTACCAATTATAGTTATTACCTGGATTAGTAGTGGGTGGAATGGTGCCTGTTAAGAGAGAAGGAAATTCATCCATGTATTTTTTTTTGTAATTTATGCGGCGGCGTAGGGGAGGTGAATATTTATATATTCAGTTCTATACCCGACGTAGCTCACCCCACAAATTTCGTTCAAGTTACGCCACTGAATATATGTCGAAATATTTTCTTATGCTTAGCTTTTTGAAAGGCCAGTAATAATGATATAGATTACATGTTAACGAATAACTCAATTAACCTATGGATTATTTCATTTCAATTATGTCCCTCATACGACCCGCTGCTGACGTCGACCAGGTCATTGCATGAAATGTCAAATTACGTAACTCAAATACACAAGTGCCTTATAGCATCTTGGTCGGGTTGAAGACCATTAAGTTTATTATCCCTTTGCTCATCGCTGCCAGTATATACTGCAACCGGTATAATTATATTGCAAGCGTTTGAAATCAGTTAAAAAAAAAAAAAGTGTTGCCTTTTTTAGATTAAATTTTATCGATCAGTTCATATCTTAGATATTAATTTTACCTGGACTTGATATATAAGAAGGCGTTGTATCTGTTAATAAAGAAATTTTTTTTTACATTCTTAAAGATTATAATCACTGTTTAAACTCTGTCAGCTGTTAATTAGCCAAACAAGTGAAACAACTTAACAGCTTAGTATACAAAGAAGACCATTTTTAAACGCTAAAAATTCACAGTTCGCTCAGCTTAATTTTCAAGAAAAAGATTGATGATTTTACCTGGATTAGATGTATTAGAAGATCTTGTCGCGTTGCCTATAAAGAAAATAAATGTATGTAAATGTAAATGTGTGCCATAAATGTAACTGCCTGCAAATAAATTTTGAAACGATATAAAAAACGGCAAACAAGGGCCGACAAGATTATGTTAAAGAAGCGAAGAGCTGTCAAACTTAATTTTTGTATAAACTATACCTAATTAATAATGTTAGTTTGTACAATCTTTTCGACAACGAAAATTCTTCTAAAAACTGTTTTACACATCTGCAGTCGTATCGTAGCGAGATGTGGCGTATTTCCTTGTTTAAGTATCGTAGCAAAACGTGGTGAATCTTTAATCTTTATATCTCATCGATTCATTTTACGCGCGATTCGTTGCAATGCAAAACGGACCTAAAGCTTTATTGAATGCATGGTTTGTTTCTGACAATCATGCTAAGGGTTAATTTGAATCGATTTGATCCATTAAAAAACCTGCTATTCGTCGGATAACCGCATCTGGGCAGTGAATTATCAACATTGAGTACCATATATTTATTACCTGGATTAGTAGTGGGTGGAATGGTGCCTGTTGAGAGAAAAGGAAATTCATCCATGTATTTTTTATGTAATTTATGCGGCGGCGTAGGGGAGGTGAATATTTATATATTCAGTTCTATACCCGGCAGTAGCTCACCCCACAAATTTCGTTCTAGTTACGCCACTGAATTTATGTCGAAATATTTTTCTTATGCTTAGCTCCTTGAAAGGCCAGTAATAATGATATAGATTACATGTTAACGAATAACTCAATTAACCTATGGATTATTTCATTTCAATTATGTCCCTCATACGACCCGCTGCTGACGTCGACCAGGTCATTGCATGAAATGTCAAATTACGTAACTCAAATACACAAGTGCCTTATAGCATCTTGGTCGTGTTGAAGATTATTAAGTTTATTATCCCTTGCTTATCGCTGCCAGTATATACTGCAATCGGTACAATTATACTGCAAGCGTTTGAAATCAGTTCAAACAAAATAAGTGTTGCCTTTTTTAGATCAAATTTTATCGATCAGTTCATATCTTAGATATTAATTTTGCTCGACTTGATGTATAAGAGGGCGTCGTATCTGTTATTATGAAATATTTTATTTTTGCACATCCTTAAAGATTGTAATTACCCTTTAATTTTTGTCATATGTTAATTTGCCAAACAATGAAAACGACTTAACAGCATATTATACAAAGAACACCATCTACAAAAGCTAAAAGTTCGCTTAGTTCAATTTTTAAGAAAAAGATTGATGATTTTACCTGGATTAGATGTATTAGAAGGTCTTGTCGCGTTGCCTATAAAGAAAATAAAATAACTGAAATTTTCTAAAATTGGTAAGAGTTTTCTGACCTTCTCTCTCCTTCCACGAACCACGGATTGTCTTTTAATTTGCGCCATAAATGTGACTGGAAATCAGTCGCCTGCACTGGACGAAAAACTGGATTTACGACTATAGTATATCTAAAGCAAACACGACGTAAATATCATATTCAGCAATGTTTGGACATATTTGTGCACAATCAAATTCTGTTTTTTCCGCATATTTACACACCACGTAAACACGCGGAAGACCGTTTTTATCGTATTGTTTACACCTAGTGTAAAGTTTTATGAAACATTCATATTCACTACTTATTTTCTCCAAAGCAAATAACGCAGTAAAAATGACATTTACAGCCATATTAAATATTGTCAAATACAACATTAGCACATAAAGTAAAAATAGCGTAAACCTTTGTAAAAATCGTAATCAACAACGTTTGCTCATATTTTGTTAAAAATCAAATTTGGTATTTTCACCATATTTCACACTAAGTAAATAAGGGGGAAGTTTGTTTTTGCGAAGACCGAAAAGATGAAATAAAGATGTACATTTGCAACATATTTTCTCAGTAGCAAATTGGATAGTAAATACTATACTTACATAAATAGCGTAAATATAAAGAAATACAATATTGCACATGAAGTAAATATAACGTAAACGTCGTTAAATATCCCATTTAGTTGGATTTACTCCCGAGTTTTATACGAATTTTGCGTTTTATTTGTTTTGCTTGAAAATATACATAAATGCTATATTTACTTGCCATTGGCATCATATTTTGAATATTATCAAACACGACGTTTGCTATTGTATATTTGTCTTAAATTGCCACCGAGGTGAACAAATAATTTGCTCACGTTTTGCTTTCCTTGCAAATACGTGTGGTGAAATATTTCGTAAATACAACATTTCTACACATGGTTAAAATAAAGCAAAGATCATGTACATACTGCATTTGCTTATATGGAAAAAATGCGGTCAGAAATTTGACATGCAATTTCCTAGTTTCAATAATCATGATCACAACTACTATAGCTAATACTGTAATGTATCAATATTTATTTCTATAATGAAAGAAAGTGTTTGTTGCACATTTAAGAGTAATGTTTACAAACTACAATTAAGCTTACAATTCAACTAACACAAAACCAAATCGATTAAAGATTAAAAACGTGTGGTCAATAATTCACCTATGATTATGTACAAAAAAGAAGAAAAATACGAGAAATAATGTTTCAAAAAAAATTTCATTGTTTGATTGCCCACTCTGGGGCATCCAAAGGCGCAAGACGGGTTGAATTGTTTCCCTTCACCCTCTCATAGGTCATGCACACCCCTTTTCTGCCTCTCTTCTTGCCAATTTTTTTGTCCAACGTCACCATTAGTTTGTTGGCCTCATCACTTCTCCATGGTAATCGCTGTATGGAGAATTTCCTTGCCTTTGATTGATGTTCGGTATCCGAAGAGCTATCACCAGAGGACGCATCCTCTCGTTCAGATGCCTCATCTTCGGATACCGAGTATTCTGATGACATGTAGTCGTTGGTCATTATTTTTTCATATTTTTCTTTTTCCGATATCGATGTTGACATCTGCAAAGTACTCTTGCGTAGCTTTCGTTTCTATAAATAATCACATTAATTTTAATAATTTCGTAGGAAGCGAGGATAATATAGGAAATTGGATGGAGATTTGTCATTTTTCAACATGCTTTTCACTGAAAACTTCCGCTCGTATTTGGGAACTTAGCAACGAAGTTCGCGAACATTCAGACGAATGTTGTACAAATTCGACCTACGAAATACAAGTGAAACTTACCACTGCGTAGATCTAAATTTTTTAAACGAAGACAAGTTTAAGGGGAATTTAGATGAATATATGACAAGACTACCTTGTAAGTGTTCGTAACTTTATATACTAGCGAACGGCTTTACGGAAAGGTTGTAACTAAAACTATTAAACAAGGAACAACATATAATAATGAAATTTCGTTAGGAGCCAAAAGTTTGCTTCTTTACAAATGCACACAGGAGGAGGTTCTCTGTAAAGATTCTCCAAATTGGATGTGTCTCAGCCTCAAAGAGTACAAGCAGGTAAAGATAGATCTTATTTAATACAACTATAATATTATAAAAACTGTACCATGCAAACTGCAAAATCTACCAGATACAATGAGACATATCAATGGAAACTACTATACAAGTATATGAGAGGATTGTATATGTATGTATGTTGCTACAGAATGTTTTTCTTTCAATGCTGAACACAGAAAACTCCTAACACAGAATAAAGAACACAGCAGAAGCTGAGCAGCAGGCTGAGACTCTTTATATTTCTTCCTTAATTTACATATGTAATTCGAAGAACTGTACGAATCTTGTGTTCGCAGGGTGAAGCCCTCGGTATAAGGGAGAACTTGTAGACTGAAATTGATATTTCACACTTACTGTATTGATTCTACTTCTATTTCTTTGCTTTTTGAGATACTGATCACTCAGGTTTTGCTCCTTGGTCTTCTCGGCACGTTTTCTTGTTTTGAAATAACAATGCATTGCCGCTACGTAATAAATGTGAATAAATGCATGTAAACACAAGTACTGTACATGTGCAATGGCTTTAAAAGCATGCTGGAGCATGTTAAAATGGTACTAGCACAGCAAATGTACATACATGTACTCTGTTTCAGTTTTAAAGATGTATACTGTATAGATTGAGTTTTTAGGTTTTTAAAAGTAGTAAATATGCATAATGAACTTTCTTCTGTGCTGATCTTGCATATAAAGTAGCCAAATCTGAGCACTACTTTTGTCACTCACCCAAAAAAATTATCACAATGCATAAATTAAGTCTTTTGGCATGGCGGCACAATGTTACTCTTAATGTAACTGAAAACTATTTGTACAGTACTGGTACCTCTAATAACTTGACTTGGTGCATCATTGACACTTTTAATTGAGGCCATGATTAGACGGTTAACATTTTGATTTTCTACTGCTCCAAAACTTTATAGGCAGATAAATAGAAAAAACTATCAAAATACTGTCCATAATACAGAATATAACGCTAGTACCTGTGACAATTACTTGGGTTGCATGCAAAGTTCATTTAAAACCACAATGTAAGTTTTCTTGCCAATCAAGATATTTCCAAATATTGCATATTGTTTGACACAGAAATATGACTTAGGTGATATCACAATGCATATTGAGTTTTTAGAAAGAATGCCATTCCTTGCCAAACATGTACTAATGACCGAAAGAGCTGTTATAACTTATCAACCAGATCATAAATTTGAGACAGTGACAACTTTATCAAGCAGTTTACTGCAAGCTAGTTGTCAATAATGACATTATCGCCTGTGCTCTAAAAGCTCACTCACAGTTAGTGAGTGTGACTGACACATCACAGTGCTGCTGATCAGTGATGCAGTCCTTCCTGAATCAATGTCTGAGTGAGCTTTTAGAATGCAGGCATATTATGCAGTGTTATCTCATTTAAGTCAAATCTGCATGCCAAATAATTTGCGATATCTAAAGGAGTTTCATGTGAGTTTAAATTAACTTTGCGATGCAACTATGAAAATATTTGTTACAGGCACTTAATAGAGTAATAAATGAAATACTAACCCATGATACATATGTCATGTATACTGGTGATAGCCTACCAGCAGTCTAAAGTTTTGCAATTTGCCAGCTAATGATTATCAAGAGACATGCACTGGCAAATTTGCTGGTAACTGGCAGTTACCTACCACTGACACAGAATAGGGAATAAGCCAAAAGGCCATTCTAGCTAGTAGTTGGTTCATTAGTTTGTTTCAGAGCATGTACTATAACAACAGTGCAAAAAGTGTAATAAACTGCTCTGATATATTAAGAAATATGGGCTCTTTAATATACCATCTGATCAATGCAGACAAAAGATCAAAAAGTTACATAATGGCAACTTACCTTTTAGATAAATCCCAGGATAGTGAATTTCCATCATCATCAGCAATGTTTCTTACAACATCACGAACACAAGCCTAATTGATAGTAATTAGCAAGTAATTATGCTACTACAGTTTTGATACATACAATATTTGGGGGGGGGTTGTAGTTGTAAGGTAGGACTTTAGGCAAATCTCATTACAGATGTACTTTGATTACAACCCTGCACCCTCCTATAAATCCACCACTGTTAAGAGATGCTATATATATCTGGAACTGAACCTGCACTTGTAACAAAGCTGATTTCATTCTGTGTTTACATGAGGTGGTCTAACTTGCAAAAACAAACCACTGCTTGCTGATATAAATTGTATACATTAATTTTCCCAGGACTCCAATGCAAATTTAGCACTCTTGAATGATTCTGACATGTGGGTCATAACTGTGAAAGCTGCTTATAAAGGAGCCAAATTCAGGTTTGTGAAAAGTATACATATACTATCTATAGCTGTGAGCCTGTGGTTTGCATTTGCAAGGCTGCTTGACTAGATCTAATAAAATCAGCTTGGCAAAGTGCACTAACCAGCCTCTGAAAAGGGTGGATGGGCCAGGAGATCAAAGGGAAAGCTATATTCCACCTTTATTCTCTCCCTAAATAATAGATGAAAGAGTACCATAAAATAGTAAAATTGATAGGTAATATACCGTTAATTCTAAGGGCAATCTTGTTCTTCTTTTTTCAGGTTTTAATCCCCCTTCCGAGCCTTTTTCCTCAATTGACTTCAACAGTCTCTGGTTGAAGGTGCTTTGCTGCTCCATAAATATCCTCATTTGTCTTAAAATCTCATCTTCCCTTGGCCTTGAAGAGCCCGTTGTCGTTCCTAGCAGTTCTTCATCAATTTCTGGCAATAGATTTCGCCTTGTAAAACTATTGCCAGAACTACTCAAACTTGGAGTACTTTCTATGCGCACGGTGTTGCGAACGCTGGATACCGTCGTTGGAATCGTTGTCGTTTCAAGTCCAAGATCAGGACTTATGGAGTTGTCTTCGGGAGGCATAGGTATCTGAGGAGTTGTTGGTGCGTTTGGGATCATGTCAGAAAAGCGCCTTGTGTCCTGACTGACATTTTCCTCCGAAATATTCGAGTCTGTCGTTGTAGGGCTAGGCGAACATGATGTCCTCGCTGATCTCGATGAACTAGACGCTGTGTTCTTATTACTTTTCTCTGCAAGTTTCTTTCCATACAAATGTACGCGATTCCGCCGGTTTGGTGGTAGTCGCCCCATAGCACAAAATACGTTTTCGATGTAAATAAATCGCGTAAAATTCAATGTACTTTACACAATGTACGTGTGTCGTTGAATAATTCATGGCAAGTTAGCGCCAAAATTTCAAATCCGATATCCTTGCTCCCAAATCATGAACTTTGGTCGGTCAGGGAGTTGCGACGTGAATGACACGTGAAAGTCATATGAACATTAAATCTCAAATTTTGATTATCATTATGCTTGCGGGCGGACGGGTATTAGCTTTATTCGATATCGATATATTTTAAGCTTCGAATCAATATTTGATCCCATGAGTGAAAAAAGAAAGTACTGTGGACATTGTCAAGAGTTTGTTACGCTAAGAACATATCGTACGCACGAAAAGCTATTTTTTATCAAAGAAACAGGTATTTGGAAAACATGTGTCGTTTCTTCGGATGAAGAAGATGAACACTCCATTCGAGAGATATTAATGATAGTTCCCAAGACGAATGTGAAGGAAAGTTCCCTAAAGACAAAGGAGACGACGTTGGTTCGGATTGCTTTCATGGTAAGCCCTGCAGTGACATTTTTACATAAATAATAGAAAATATTAACTACAAATATCATGGCTTATAAATATATAAGGTACAGCCATTAAGGGGACATTGTGTCCCCTCAACTTTTCTTTAAAGAGCATTTTTTAGCGAAAACAATAGGATATGTGCTTTTAGATTAGTGTCCCCTACTCCCTATTAAATATTTGAAGCTGTTCATGTACCCACAGGCCTAATTTAGCAATAGGGCAGTTTTTTATTATTATATGATATTGTTGTTTATAAATTTTGCCAATTTCTGCAGATATTTGGAGTTGAAATGAGGTATTTTTATGTTTAGTATGGGCCAGAAGGAAGGTATTTGTTAATTTGGATTAGGGTGGACTATTAAAGGCAATCAGGTTACAGCATGGCAGTTTCTTCAAATAACAGCATAACAAATAACAACTGCCTCAGATATACAGTTGATAGGCCAATTGTCATATCTATATATAGGCAGTTGATGTACAACCAATTTTCCTTTCCTAGGACTATGGTGACTGTATCATCAGACTAAATAGAGTCACAACACTGCTAGACAAACACCATAACATTACTTTTATATAATTGTATACACTTGATCTTTGCAGGCATAAATGTGTGTTTTTGGCCTACTAGGGTGGACATATACACTGAGTGGGGGGGGTATATTTAAGGAGGGGGCTATAATATTCACCCAATTTGCCAAACAGTTTTCTTACAACTGGCCTATGATGATCAGGATTGCTTGAGAACTTTGATGCATCAGGGTTTTGGACGTAGTTGGCCTGGATCCAGGCTCGGTTCCCCTGCCCTTGACTATGTGATCCTGTATATGCAACGTCAAAAGGAAAACCTCAGTGGCCATGGACATATTTCAAAAGACGAAGTATTAGACCTGGTGATCTCAAAAATTAGGTATAACACAAGTAGTAAAGATCAAAAAGGTTTGAGGACCACAAAATGTATTTGAAAATGTGTCCAAAGTTAATTTTTACCCGTGTACTATTTAAACAAGGCAGTACAATTTGTATATTTAACCCATTAGCTGGTATTACTCAGTAGGTGCAGTCGATGTAGTTTTCTTAACCCATTTTCTGGTAGTCTTCCCCTTATCGAGTAAAATTTTCTAACCCTAGACAGACTGTACATGCAATAATATCATATCCATGTTTTTGTAGAATCCGATTGTCAATCCAGTGTTTGTTCAGATGATGATGACTCGTCAGATACAGAGTGGTTGTATAAAGAGCGTGTATTTCCAATTAACCCAGAAATTTGGGAGATTTCTGAAGAGGATATCAATGTTGACCTTGAGAGAAACTCTATACCACATGTTTCCAACGATCTTAAAGGTAATGCATCTAATCCAGTAAAGAATATTTTGCGTTGGGCACTTGTATTTTTGTCTATATGGGCTGCCCATTGCAAAATTTCAGAAACTGCACTGGAGTTGCTATTGTCATTTCTTCATCGTTGGTTTACTGTTTTGGGGACAATCTTTCCACCGTTTGCTGTTTTTATATCTTTTCCAACTACTATATCATCGCTACGTACATATCTTGGCATTGAAAAAGACAGCTTTACCAAATACGTTGTCTGTAACAAATGTTCCAGTTTATATTCATTTCACGACTGCTACGAGTTAAAGTATGGCAAAAAAGTGACCAAAAAATGTCAGTTTATTTCATTTCCTCATCATCGCCAAGTTCACCGCAGGCAGCGTTGTAACGAGCCGCTATTAAGAGAAGTTGTGTTAAAGAACGGAAAGTGCCATTTGTACCCATTCAAAATATTTTGCTATAAAAGTATATCGGAAACACTGAAGAATATGATAAGCAGAAATGGATTTCTCCAGAAGTGTGAACTGTGGAGAAGTAGAGAAGTTCCTAATGGTTTTCTAGCTGATGTTTTTGATGGACGTGTTTGGCGAGAGTGGCAATTCGTTGAAGGTAAACCTTTCTTAGCTGCCCCTGATAACTATGCTTTGATGCTTAACGTGGACTGGTTTCAGCCATTCAAACATTCCGTCTACAGCGTTGGGGCCATGTATTTGGTTATAATGAACTTACCCAGGAGCGAGAGATTTAAGCCTGAAAATGTCCTGTTGGTAGGTCTGATTCCAGGTCCTAAAGAACCATCGTTGAACATAAATACGTACCTCAAGCCCATGGTGACAGAACTAAATTTGTTATGGACGGACGGTATAAATATTAACTCTGAAATTTGCATTCGTGCTGCCTTATTGTGTATAGCGTGCGATCTACCTGCCGTTCGAAAAGTGTGTGGATTTACTGGTCATGGGGCCCGCAATGGATGCTCCAAGTGCAAGAAAGCATTTCTTGGGGTAGTAGGGAAAATGGATTTTTCTGGGTTTGAACCTTCCCCGCCTAGAAAGAATGCTGAGCATCGACAACAAGCTCAAGAAGTGCTTAACCAGACAAGTATGACCGATCAAGCTGCAGCTGAACAGCGTTATGGCACAAGGTTCACGGAGCTTATGATGTTGCCTTATTTTGATTGCGTACGGTATCATGTTGTCGATCCAATGCACAACCTGTTTCTGGGAACTTCCAAGCATTTAATGAAGAATATTTGGTTGCAAGGCGAAACACCACTTATTGAAAGGAAGGATCTTATGAACATCCAGAAAAAGTTGGATACTATCAAAGCACCGTCATCTATTGGTAGAATGCCTAAGAAAATCGAAAATAGTTATGGCGGATTTACCGCTGATCAGTGGAAAACGTGGACAATTCTCTTTTCAGTGTTTAGTCTTTGGAATGTATTACCAGATGAGCATCTCAAATTATGGCATGATTTTGTTATGGCTTGCATCTTGTATTGTGCTCCTGTCATCACAGAAGGAAGAGCAGAAGTGGGACACTCGCACATTTTAAAATTCTGCAAGGGCTTTGAAAATCTTTATGGAAAAGAGAAGGTCACGCCAAACATGCATATGCACACCCACATTCTCGACTGCATTTTGGATTACGGACCTGTATATTCGTTTTGGCTATTCAGTTTTGAGCGGTACAATGGTCTTTTGGGCGAAATTGTTACCAATCAGAGGTCAGTAGAAGTACAGTTAATGAGAAAGTTTACGTCCGAACAGTTCGTAAGAAACTTGGAGCTGCCAGTTCAATTTGGTGATTCGTTTTTACCTATATTTGAAAAACTAAATATTAAGAACACTGGAACGCTTGCCTCTGAGCTGGAAGACATGAAAACAAAAGAAGTGATAGAGACTAGTATGCTTGCCATTGGTCCTGTCCGAAAGAACGACTCACGATGGAGAATCGATGAAAGGAAGACTGTGTATGAACTGCGTTGTCCCTATTCCTTAGAAAGCTTGGACGCAGAGGATCTTGCCTTAATCACAAGGTGTATATGGAAATATTTGATGGACTAAACGTAGAATCAGTTACCACACACTTTAATCGTTATGCTGGTGTCTTTTTCGCGGGGGAATATTTTGGGTCTCTGAACTCCCGGGGAGAGAGATCATGTTACATAATGGCTAGATGGTGCAGTCTTGGTGGGGTCATTGATAAAGCGGGTACGGATCTTAGACCAGGTGTTATTGACTATATTCTTGAGCAGAGTATAGAGGTTAACGATAATCGCGTGAAATGTATACTTGCGGCCGTAAGATGGTTTTCAGTACATCCCCAAAGACATAAATTGGGATCCCCAACTGAAGTATGGTGCAGAAATGTCTGGGAGTTAGATGGCTGTGCAAGTTTTATTCCAGTGCAAAGGATCTTTTGTAGGTTTGTCCTGTTTATGATGTTGTTGACGGAGAGAGAGTTTTAATTGTGTGCCCAGTTCCGCGCAAGTTTCAGTGTTGACCGGATTTGCCAGAACATCTCCATTAAAACGTCGAATTTGACTATACATTTGGCCAGTTGAAATGCTCACCATTGCATGCAAAATTCGCGCAATGCCCAATAAGGTTATTCAAATAAATTGTATATATATATATAGAAATCGCTTTAGCTTAGTTTAGTTTAGTTTAGTTTAGCTTGTTAGTTTAGTTTAGTTTAGTTTAGTTTGAGTTAGTTGAGTTGAGTTTGAGTTAGTTTAGTTTAGAGACATTTAAATACATGCTAGTAACATCGCTATATTACAAATTGGTACAGGAAATTGCACAGCTCGAGAAGTATAAATGAAAAATTGAACGCGTGTTTAGCATAGTATTTGTAACAAATGCTATTTTTCATTAATTCTTCGAGAACAAGTGCAATCTCCTATTAATACCAATATAGTGAATTTACGAGTGGCCAAAGGTACTAAAGCATTGTATTTTACAGTAGGTTTCAAGATAGAACACTGTACGCGTCTTTACCTTCATTCAATTTTAATATTTTTTGACATAATTTTCAGCCCATTTTCAGCAATTTCTATTTCGATATGTATTCCAATGTGCAACTTCTTTGAGCACATCCTGTAGGGATGGATGACAAAATAGAAAAGTTGAAATATTTCAGCAAATGTTACATGTTCTTGATTCCTAATTCCGTTTTAAAAGGACATATGGATGAATCATGCTATGGCAGAAATCAGGCTATGGCAGAAAGTTACTTACACCTTTTTAGGTTATTTTTTGCTATTATCATGCCAATCGTGCAGAATGCATTCGAGCGTTGCCAACTGTTATTTTGTAAAAGTACCAAGTATGGTCCAGCCTCTGCGCAGTTTGCTCCTCAGGCCTCGCTCGTCGTGTTGCCAAAAACGAAATCGAACATCAATATGCAGCTCAGTACGGTAGTTTAAGGCAGTCTAAAGTCCCTAGGGTAGTCTCACCCTCGTACCCAGGACCTGCTGCTAAAAGCAAAATCCAAATTCTCCCAGATTTTGGGAGTATTTTTGAATCTCATTAGAAATTATGTGGCTATCAGGGTGGTTGAGCAACCTAGAACCTAGAGTCTGCTGTTTTCAACACCCCTCCCCTGATAGTCATCATAATTTTTCAGGAGATTCAAAAATACTCCCAAAATCTGGGAGTATTTTGATCAGCTTTTACCAGGGCCTTCGCCCTTAGCAGCAAGCCCTGGGTACGAGGTTGAGGTAGTCTAAGGTAATTTATAGGTAGGCTATGGTATGCCTAAAAGGTATGCAAAGGGACGCAAGGTAGTCGTGTTTATATGATCCCGCCTAGCCGGGACGGGACAGTTTCCGAGATCCCGCTTGTAATACAAACACTAATTAGTGTTTATATGACCACTTTTCCATCCCGCCTAGGCGGGATCCCGGCACTTCTTGCCGGGATCCCGCTTAGACGGGACGAGAAATTGCCATATAAACACTCCATCCCGCTTGCCCGGGATGATTCGCAATTAACATACATTAAGAGCATGGGTATATATTGGCATATTCGTTTTCTACAATAAAACATGCCGTCGAAGGAACCTGCACTACAAAATGAACTGCATATAAACACGCCATCCCGCCTAGGCGAGTTTCCCGGCTAAGCGAGATGAAAACATCCCGTCCCGGCTAGACGGGATCATATAAACAGGCCCTAAGTGTAATGCATTTGCTTGCCGCTGATCAAATAGACCACGGATTCATTAAGCACTTCGCGCTTTTTTTCCGCGGATTAGAAACCTGATTGATAAATAAATTTATTAATTTAATTTAAATTTCAAATTAATCAAATATAAAGTACAGTACGTTGGAATTTTCATTCGAAGGTACGTATTACATTTACGAAGTGAATCATTTTAATAGCAACTGAGTATAGCCAAAAAATGAATTCACCTGTTTTGGGAAGAGTCCTAAATGCATTAAGAGATCAACAGGCAACAGCTGTGTGTATAAAGTACCATCATGCCATGTCTTAATGGCTATCATGGTGCTTTTGAATTTGAAATTTCTGTTGTGTTCAAATTTTGGGTATTTAATATGAACCCATTTATAGCTTGCAAAATCTGCCTACTGTAGTGTATGTGTTTTACTACATCTATTGTTAAAAATTTATTGTTAAAATATTGGCTAATATTTAGAAGCATGGGAAGACATCTAAAAGAAAAACGACGCCAATACAAGCAGAACCGTAGGGAAAGGTTGAACAAGAAGAAAAATTATGTGTTTATAGAAGTCAATAAAGATGATAAAAAACATGAAGAGAGAGATGAAATTGAAGCAGCACAATTGGGTAATGATGTTGCAATTGGCAATAAAACTAGTGCCAAAGAGATGGATAGGAATGTAGCAAAGGATTGGTTATACATGAATATGATCAAATATTTTAAGAAAAAGAATGGATTTCTGAAGTTTAGGAGAGCTATGGAAAAACCAAAAGAGGGTGAATATTGTAGTGGGTAAGCACTGTGTGGTTCATGTAAATTGCAAGAACAATTAGCAGAGCTGTGGCAGTAGATAAACATTTTAAGTTAATATAGTATATTTTGATCTTTTTAGTGAGTGAATGCTATTGTGTATGGTAGTTACAGTAAATTCAATTTAGCTCTGTGATAGTGAGTTAATCTACATTACTTTTGAAACTGAGAAATTTTTTAATGCGAATAAATAGGCTGAACATTGCCATCAAGAAGGTAATATTGTTCAATGTAGGCATATCCATTATACAAATCTCACTAACTTTAAGCTTTTGGATTGACTTATGCACAAACAAGATCTTTAAACTGCTGGGTTGATTTGGAGTGACCATTTTGTGAGATCTTTAAAGAGACCTTTGTCAGTGAGTGACTGTTATTGTGTAGTTAAATTCAATTTTAGCTCCATGATAGTGAGTTAATCTACATTGCTTTTGAAATTAAGAAATTTATAATGAGAATAAACAGACTGAACATTGCCATCAAGAAGGTAATTGTTCAATGGAGGCATATGCATATACAAATCTCACTAACTATTAAGCTTTTGGATTGAGACATTGAGTTACGCACAAACAAGATCTTTAAACTGCTGGGTTGATTTGGAGTGACCATTTTGTGAGATCTTTAAAGAGACCTTTGTCAGTGAGTGACTGTTATTGTGTGGTTAAATTCAATAAAGCTCCATGACAGTGAGTTTTTCCACATTGCTGAAACTGAGAAACTTTCTAATGAGAATAAATAGGCTGAACATTGCCATCAATAAGGTAATTGTTCAATGTAGCATATATATGCATTATATATACAAATCTCACTAACTATTAAGCTTTTTGATAGACTATGCACAAACAAGATCTTTATAACTACTGGGTTGATTTGGAGTGACCATTTTGTGAGATATTAAAGAGACCTTTGTCAGTGAGTGACTGTTATTGTGTGGCTAAATTCAATTTAGCTCCTTGATAGTGAATTTTTCTATTTTCTTTTTTGAAATTGAGATATTTTTGAGAATAAATAGGCTGTAGCCAACAGGAATGTTAACTGTTGAATGTAGGCATATGCATGTAGTATCTTTACACATTTTCATTAACTGTTATGCTTCTGGATGAACTTATAAGAATGAAGAGACCTCTGTCAGTGAGTGAGTGTTATTGGGATGTTAAATTCAATTTTGCTTCAAAATGCTACGTACGTGATAGTGAGTGTTTTAAAATTCCTTTGAAACTGACTTGAGAGAATTTATAATCATGAGGCTACTAGTCTGAGAGCAGGTATTTTGAATACGCGAATTCGTCTGCGGGCTTCAGACACTAAATTTGAGATTGCGTCCAGGAATCTCAATATAATTTATTGCTTATTTAATTCTATTTGTCTGCAAAGTAAGCTTCAGCAAATATGAATGTTAACATTTACATGTTGTTTACACGAAAGCAAATACCATATTTACACAAATTTGTCCATCCTGGCAAATTTTGTGTTTGCGTCGAATTTGCAATATGGGAAAATATGCGTAAAAGTACTACATATTTACTTGTGGTGGCAAATATATGTCAAATATGCACAAACTTTACCTTTACTTTACTGCGTAAATTTGGCCCAAAATATTAGTAAATATAATATTTACGCATGTTTATTTTGCATTTACTATGAATTAAACATTCTAGTTTACTGATATTTAACCATCAAGTAAATATATTTCAAAAATAGTTCTCCATATTCACACCATATTTACATTTAAAGTAAACTAAAGTTAATCCAATTTTTCGTCCAGTGCTGATATTCAAATAACATGCAAAATATGTATTCGCACTCATCAAAGGTTCACAGAATACAGAAATGAAAAGTTACTGAATACAAATAAAATTGCTTTAGTTCACGACATGTTTTTGATCAATGTTTTTTTAAACAGAGGATTTTTACCAGTGGGGTGGGGTCGGGGAAAACATGGGGATAAGGCCCCTCATGATCTATATGTTAAAAGAGGCCCAATATGACTAGATCTGATTGTAGCAAATTAGGTATGAAGCCATTTTACATGCTATTCCATCTCCACTAAAGCCAAAGTTGCAAGAACAGTCGAACGACCCATTGGTATTGCGACATGATGCTTGAGAATGACAGTTATCAATTCCAAGTTCACATTCATTGATATCTAAGATATTACAATATAAAATACATAAACTCCCATATTTTGAACGGTTAAATCTATGTTTTTTTAACCAAAAAGAGGAAATTATATTGCAAGGGAATTATGAATTATCCTCGTCAATTTTTTTTGCAAATATTACCAAATACCATGCAAATAATTAGTATTAAAGAAGATGCAAACCTGTGCAGGTTACGCCATCTCCGGTATAACCGTTTTCACAAATGCAGTAAAACGATTCATTCGTATTGACACATGACGCTCCAATAGCGCAGTTGTGTGTTCCAAAGTAACATTCATTTACATCTAAAATATAATATTTAAATACACATTTTTAGAATACTTCAATTTTACTACCAGGCAGTTACTCTGACTCAGAGTGTCAGTCTGTTTTGTTCTTAACCCTAATTTTCTTACGAGCAGAAATAGAACAAACTTTTATAAGTTTTAATATTTTCTTGCCGATATATTTGAAACTTATTTCTTACCTAATGGTGTTGAATAGTTCAGAACAAATCCCGGTGCTGACACGCTATAATCCGAGTGAAACACGATGAAGAGTTTGAGTCCAGATGATACCAGGCTTCTTGGTAATTGGTTTCCACAGAATCTGCCCAGTTTCGTCGTATTTGCTGAATCTCCATTATAAACTTCCAAATAGTCAAATCCACAACTGTAAACTACCTTCCAGCTAAAACGTCATGCAATTTTTGTAAATTATTTGTCAATTTTGCACATACGAATTAAATTGATTTTAAACTGTTTAACGGTTTAAAACTATACTATTCTACGCATTTCTAAGTTCAGTCAATGAAAGTTGCTAATATTCAATGATAGTGCAATCGTCTGCTGATTAGCTCAAAGTGTACGGATATTTTGAATGTTCTCGTTGTTGTCTGTTGAGGGTATTTGTCGCGCCAGCTTGTTATCTTTTCTACACAAGGAAATTCGCCATGAAAAGGCTCTGTTTTTTTTCGAAATTCAATGAATAATAAAGACAATTATTCAAGTCGGCTTTCGCAAGTTATCTAGGATATACTGACATTGACCTCTGCCTGAACATTCCGGATACCCTGCGCTCCCTCATCCAATAATTATATTGGAATCGTCACTTCTGGTGAAATGGAGCTAAGTGTTTGGTTGAGAAGAATTTACTTCCATATAAAATTCAGCTATTTATATCATAATATTTCCCCTCATGCAGTTGTCCAATAAAAAGATAATTTTGTTTTCCACTTTGAACTTATAAGTCTTAGGAGCAATAAATTAGGTAAAACTAGCCTACCAAGAATGAAGTAAACTGTAGTAAAATTTTTCTTCCATTGGTGCTGGAAATGGTCCAACTGCAATCCATGTAGTGAGGGTATGAAAGGGGATAAAGAGGGCTTGTGAGTTTTCCAGGAGGATACAGTTGACTTTCGCCGCATAATTCTGGAAATATTATTCACACAAACTTATTGAAGGATAGAGCAAAGTGGAATTTATCGCCGATTATTTTATTATTAGAATAGTAAATAGGAACATGTTCAAACTTGAATTAGCCTAGACCTATATAGGGGCAAAAGAGCATTAATTGAGGTAGGGAGCAATTATTCATATCTTCATGTTCGGCAATATTAGTTTCTTATTCCTCAATGCAAAAAATAATGAAAACGCAATGCCAAAGCCCTGTTTTCAAATATGCATCGTTAATGATAATTACTAATAGGAACTGTTACCTGGCGCTGATGTCGTAAAATTTCGTGGCATGTTTTTCGCTGTGAAGTAAAAAATAAGTATAATTATTCTTCCGCATCAACTTATTTTGTTTGAGTTTGCATACTATTTAATTATGACTGCAATTGGAAATTATGGATTCCTTGTGAGTCTTGTAACAGCCATGCTAAGGGTTAATTTTTGTCTTAACTTCAACGAAATAAAAAGATATCAAATTCAAGCGAAGAACTGCTGAGAAAAATTTGTCAACTATGGACGATTAAATCTTTATTAGCCAACACCTACGGCGGATTGCATGCATGTACGAAGGTTGGATATTCCTTTACATAGCAGGGGCCACGAAAGATCGTTAGCTTCGCGGGGGGGGGGAAATTATTCATATTTTCGGGTTAGCAATATTAGTTTCCTACGAAATTTTTTTTTTATCGTCAGCTGAAATGAATATATAAATATTTGGCCTCCAGTTTCCAATCTTCCGCTGCCCCTGCATCTACTAGACAATTATTGATTGTGCGCAAAAAATGTTTAAAAAAGAAATAAAACATTAGGTATTAACCAACAAGTATAATTTAGATCGTTTGAAAAACCCGCTTTTCGGTGGAGAGCGCTATATCCGTCGAATAAACGCGGCTGGGCAGTGAAACATCAAAATTCACTACCAATTATTCATTACCTGGATTAGTAGTGGGTGGAATAGTGCCTGTAAAGAGAAAAGGAAATTCTTCCATATTTTATTTTATGTAATTTATGCAGCGGGCGTAGGGGAGGTGAATATGCAAATATTCAGTTCTACCCGACGGGGCTGTATTTTAAGCTGTTGGACTTTCAAGTGTAATCCATCCGGCTGAATTAAATAATGAACACTCACCCCCAAATTTCGTTCTAGTTACGCCACTGAATTTATGTCGAAATATTTTACTTATTCTTAGCTCCTTGAAATGCCAGTAATGGTAATATAGATTACGGCAACTCTAGACGCACGTGTAATCTTGGAATCGCTATATATACTGCCAGCGTTTGAAATCAGTTCAGACTAAATAGGTGTCGCCTTTTTGGATAAATTTTATCGATCAGTTCATATCTTGGATATTAATTTTACCTCGACTTGATGTAAGAAGGCGTCGTATCTGTGAATAAAAAAATCTATATTTTGCACTCTCAAAGATTATAATCTCCGTATAATTTTTGTGAGCTGTTAATTCGCCAAACAAGTGAAACGACGGCACGGCATAATATACAAAGAAGACAATTTATAAAAGCTAAAATTTTACTAGCTCTGTTCAATTTTCAAGAAAAAGATTGATGATTTTACCTGGACTAGATGTATTAGAAGGTCTTGTTGCGTTGGCTATAAAAAAAACAAATAAACTTAATTTTTTACAAATTGGTAACATTTTTCTGACCTTCTCTCTCCATGCACGAACCACGGATTGTCTTTTGATTTGCGCCATAAATCTAAATAGCTGCAATAAATTTTGAAGCGGGATAAAAAGAGAGAATATAGCGGTTTGTATCAGAAATTTTTCTGCGTCCAGTTTGGAACAAAATACTTATCGCTTTCCCAGGATGCTTTTTGTTGCTCTGACAATTTTTTGACCGATATGTTGACAATCTCTCAGCGTGATATCTTTTTAACTATTTCGGACCTTCGGACAAGATTCCTCTTGTGTCGTTAGTGTCGGGGGGGGGGCAATTATTCATATATTCATGTTTGGCAAAATTAGTTCCTTATGAAATTGATTGTTTTACGCTATATAAATATTTGCCCTGATGTTAACGATCTTCCGTGACCTCTGTCTTCTAGATAATTATTAACTTTTTCAAGCAGCACAAAAATGTTTAAACGATTAATAAAATTTTAGATATTAAGCAAAAAAATAATTTATAGATCGATGGAAAAACTTGCTATTCGGTGGATAGCGCCATTTGTCGAATAACCGCGACTGGGCAGTGAAACATCAACATCAACATTGAGTACCAATTATTTATTACCTGGGATTAGTAGTGGGTGCAATGGTGCCTGTAAAGAGAAAACGAAATTCCTCTTTATTTTATTTTATGTAACTTATGCAGCGTTGAGTGGTGGTGAATATTCATATACTCAGTTCTACCCGACGGAGCTGTATTTAAGCTATTGCACTTGCAAGTGTAATCCGTCCGGCAGCATTAAATATATGAATACTCACCCCCCCAAATTTCAATCTAGTTACGCCACTGAATTAATGTCGAAATATTTTTCTTATTCTTAGCTCCTTGAAATGCCATTAATAGTAATAAAGAATCGTTACATGTTAACGAATGTCTAAATTAACCCAGCGCACTATGCAGCTAAGTTGTCCCCCTGCACAAATAAATTACTTCATTTAAATTATGTCGCTCATTTACGACCCGCTGCTTACGTCGACCAGGTCATTGACATATCAAATTACGCGACTCCAATACACAATTGACTTATAGCGCATCTTGATCTGGTTGAAGACTATTGGGTTTATTAACCCTTGCTTATCGCTGCCAGGTAAATAAATTGACGGTGACTCGTGGCGTGTGGCCTTTTTTGGATTAAATTTTATCGATCAGTTCATATCGTAGATATTAAATTTACCTGGACTTGATGTATAAGAAGGCGTCGTATCTGTTAATAAAAAATATATTTTTTTACATTCTCAAAGATTATAATCACGGTTTAATTTCTGTCAGCTGTTAATTAGCCAAACAAGTGAAACAACTTAACAGCTTAGTATACAAAGAAGACCATTTTTAAACGCCAAAAATTCGCAGTTCGCTCACCTTAATTTTCAAGAAAAAGATTGATGATTTTACCTGGATTAGATGTATTAGAAGATCTTGTCGCGTTGCCTATAAAGAAAATAAATGTATGTAAATGTAAATGTGTGCCATAAATGTAACTGGCTGCAAATAAATTTTGAAACGGGATAAAAAACGGCAAACAAGGGCCGAAAAGATTATGTTAAAGGAGCGAAGAGCTGTCAAACTTAATTTTTGTATCAACTATATACCTAATTAATAATGTTAGTTTGTACAATCTTTTCGACAACGAAAATTCTTCTAAAAACTGTTTTACACATCTGCAGTCGTATCGTAGCGAGATGTGGCGTATTTCCTTGTTTAAGAATCGTAGCAAAACGTGGTGAATCTTTAATCTTTATATCTCATCGATTCATTCTACGTGCGATTCGTTGCAATGCGAAACGGACCTAAAGCCTTATTGAATGCATGGTTTGTTTCTGACAATCATGCTAAGGGTTAATTTGAATCGATTTGATCGATTGAAAAACCTGCTATTCGTCGGATAACCGCATCTGGGCAGTGAAATATCAACATTGAGTACCAATTATAGTTATTACCTGGATTAGTAGTGGGTGGAATGGTGCCTGTTAAGAGAGAAGGAAATTCATCCATGTATTTTTTTTTTGTAATTTATGCGGCGGCGTAGGGGAGGTGAATATTTATATATTCAGTTCTATACCCGACGGTAGCTCACCCCACAAATTTCGTTCAAGTTACGCCACTGAATATATGTCGAAATATTTTTCTTATGCTTAGCTTTTTGAAAGGCCAGTAATAATGATATAGATTACATGTTAACGAATAACTCAATTAACCTATGGATTATTTCATTTCAATTATGTCCCTCATACGACCCGCTGCTGACGTCGACCAGGTCATTGCATGAAATGTCAAATTACGTAACTCAAATACACAAGTGCCTTATAGCATCTTGGTCGGGTTGAAGACCATTAAGTTTATTATCCCTTTGCTCATCGCTGCCAGTATATACTGCAACCGGTATAATTATATTGCAAGCGTTTGAAATCAGTTAAAAAAAAAAGTGTTGCCTTTTTTAGATCAAATTTTATCGATCAGTTCATATCTTAGATATTAATTTTACCTGGACTTGATGTATAAGAAGGCGTCGTATCTGTTAATAAAAAAATTTTTTTTTACATTCTCAAAGATTATAATCACTGTTTAAACTCTGTCAGCTGTTAATTAGCCAAACAAGTGAAACAACTTAACAGCTTAGTATACAAAGAAGACCATTTTTAAACGCTAAAAATTCACAGTTCGCTCAGCTTAATTTTCAAGAAAAAGATTGATGATTTTACCTGGATTAGATGTATTAGAAGATCTTGTCGCGTTGCCTATAAACAAAATAAATGTATGTAAATGTAAATGTGTGCCATAAATGTAACTGGCTGCAAATAAATTTTGAAACGATATAAAAAACGGCAAACAAGGGCCGACAAGATTATGTTAAAGAAGCGAAGAGCTGTCAAACTTAATTTTTTTATAAACTATACCTAATTAATAATGTTAGTTTGTACAATCTTTTCGACAACGAAAATTCTTCTAAAAACTGTTTTACACATCTGCAGTCGTATCGTAGCGAGATGTGGCGTATTTCCTTGTTTAAGTATCGTAGCAAAACGTGGTGAATCTTTAATCTTTATATCTCATCCATTCATTTTACGCGCGATTCGTTGCAATGCAAAACGGACCTAAAGCTTTATTGAATGCATGGTTTGTTTCTGACAATCATGCTAAGGGTTAATTTGAATCGATTTGATCCATTAAAAAACCTGCTATTCGTCGGATAACCGCATCTGGGCAGTGAATTATCAACATTGAGTACCAATTATTTATTACCTGGATTAGTAGTGGGTGGAATGGTGCCTGTTGAGAGAAAAGGAAATTCATCCATGTATTTTTTTATGTAATTTATGCGGCGGCGTAGGGGAGGTGAATATTTATATATTCAGTTCTATACCCGGCAGTAGCTCACCCCACAAATTTCGTTCTAGTTACGCCACTGAATTTATGTCGAAATATTTTTCTTATGCTTAGCTCCTTGAAAGGCCAGTAATAATGATATAGATTACATGTTAACGAATAACTCAATTAACCTATGGATTATTTCATTTCAATTATGTCCCTCATACGACCCGCTGCTGACGTCGACCAGGTCATTGCATGAAATGTCAAATTACGTAACTCAAATACACAAGTGCCTTATAGCATCTTGGTCGTGTTGAAGATTATTAAGTTTATTATCCCTTGCTTATCGCTGCCAGTATATACTGCAATCGGTACAATTATACTGCAAGCGTTTGAAATCAGTTCAAACAAAATAAGTGTTGCCTTTTTTAGATCAAATTTTATCGATCAGTTCATATCTTAGATATTAATTTTGCTCGACTTGATGTATAAGAGGGCGTCGTATCTGTTATTATGAAATATTTTATTTTTGCACATCCTTAAAGATTGTAATTACCTTTAATTTTTGTCATATGTTAATTTGCCAAACAATGAAAACGACTTAACAGCATATTATACAAAGAACACCATCTACAAAAGCTAAAAGTTCGCTTAGTTCAATTTTTAAGAAAAAGATTGATGATTTTACCTGGATTAGATGTATTAGAAGGTCTTGTCGCGTTGCCTATAAAGAAAATAAAATAACTGAAATTTTCTAAAATTGGTAAGAGTTTTCTGACCTTCTCTCTCCTTTCACGAACCACGGATTGTCTTTTAATTTGCGCCATAAATGTGACTGGAAATCAGTCGCCTGATATTCAAATAACATGCAAAATATGTATTCGCACTCATCAAAGGTTCACAGAATACAGAAATGAAAAGTTACTGAATACAAATAAAATTGCTTTAGTTCACGACATGTTTTTGATCAATGTTTTTTTAAACAGAGGATTTTTACCAGTGGGGTGGGGTCGGGGAAAACATGGGGATAAGGCCCCTCATGATCTATATGTTAAAAGAGGCCCAATATGACTAGATCTGATTGTAGCAAATTAGGTATGAAGCCATTTTACATGCTATTCCATCTCCACTAAAGCCAAAGTTGCAAGAACAGTCGAACGACCCATTGGTATTGCGACATGATGCTTGAGAATGACAGTTATCAATTCCAAGTTCACATTCATTGATATCTAAGATATTACAATATAAAATACATAAACTCCCATATTTTGAACGGTTAAATCTATGTTTTTTAACCAAAAAGAGGAAATTATATTGCAAGGGAATTATGAATTATCCTCGTCAATTTTTTTGCAAAATATTACCAAATACCATGCAAATAATTAGTATAAAGATGCAAACCTGTGCAGGTTACGCCATCTCCGGTATAACCGTTTTCACAAATGCAGTAAAACGATTCATTCGTATTGACACATGACGCTCCAATAGCGCAGTTGTGTGTTCCAAAGTAACATTCATTTACATCTAAAATATAATATTTACATAGACATTTTTAGAATACTTCAATTTTACTACCAGGCAGTTACTCTGACTCAGAGTGTCAGTCTGTTTTGTTCTTAACCCTAATTTTCTTACGAGCAGAAAATAGAACAAACTTTTATAAGTTTTAATATTTTCTTGCCGATATATTTTGAAACTTATTTCTTACCTAATGGTGTTGAATAGTTCAGAACAAATCCCGGTGCTGACACGCTATAATCCGAGTGAAACACGATGAAGAGTTTGAGTCCAGATGATACCAGGCTTCTTGGTAATTGGTTTCCACAGAATCTGCCCAGTTTCGTCGTATTTGCTGAATCTCCATTATAAACTTCCAAATAGTCAAATCCACAACTGTAACTACCTTCCAGCTAAAACGTCATGCAATTTTTGTAAATTATTTGTCAATTTTGCACATACGAATTAAATTGATTTTAAACTGTTTAACGGTTTAAACTATACTATTCTACGAATTTCTAAGTTCAGTCAATGAAAGATTGCTAATATTCAATTGATAGTGCAATCGTCTGCTGATTAGCTCAAAGTGTACGGATATTTTTGAATGTTCTCGTTGTTGTCTGTTGAGGGTATTTGTCGCGCCAGCTTGTTATCTTTTCTACACAAGGAAATTCGCCATGAAAAGGCTTGTTTTTTTTCGAAATTCAATGAATAATAAGACAATTATTCAAGTCGGCTTTCGCAAGTTATCTAGGATATACTGACATTGACCTCTGCCTGAACATTCCGGATACCCTGCGCTCCCTCATCCAATAATTATATTGGAATCGTCACTTCTGGTGAAATGGAGCTAAGTGTTTGGTTGAGAAGAATTTACTTCCATATAAAATTCAGCTATTTATATCATAATATTTCCCCTCATGCAGTTGTCCAATAAAAAGATAATTTTGTTTTCCACTTTGAACTTATAAGTCTTAGGAGCAATAAATTAGGTAAAAGTAGCCTACCAAGAATGAAGTAAACTGTAGTAAAATTTTTCTTCCATTGGTGCTGGAAATGGTCCAACTGCAATCCATGTAGTGAGGGTATGAAAGGGATAAAAGGCTTGTGAGTTTTCCAGGAGGATACAGTTGACTTTCGCCGCATAATTCTGGAAATATTATTCACACAAACTTATTGAAGGATAGAGCAAAGTGGAATTTATCGCCGATTATTATTATTAGAATAGTAAATAGGAACATGTTCAAACTTGAATTAGCCTAGACCTATATAGGGGCAAAAGAGCATTAATTGAGGTAGGGAGCAATTATTCATATCTTCATGTTCGGCAATATTAGTTTCTTATTCCTCAATGCAAAAAATAATGAAAACGCAATGCCAAAGCCCTGTTTTCAAATATGCATCGTTAATGATAATTACTAATAGGAACTGTTACCTGGCGCTGATGTCGTAAAATTTCGTGGCATGTTTTTCGCTGTGAAGAAATAAATTAGTATAATTATTCTTCCGCATCAACTTATTTTGTTTGAGTTTGCATACTATTTAATTATGACTGCAATTGGAAATTATGGATTCCTTGTGAGTCTTGTAACAGTCATGCTAAGGGTTAATTTTTGTCTTAACTTCAACGAAATAAAAAAGATATCAAATTCAAGCGAAGAACTGCTGAGAAAAATGTGTCAACTATGGACGATTAAATCTTTATTAGCCAACACCTACGGCGGATTGCATGCATGTACGAAGGTTGGATATTCCTTTACATAGCAGGGGCCACGAAAGATCGTTAGCTTCGCGGGGGGGGAAATTATTCATATTTTCGGGTTAGCAATATTAGTTTCCTACGAAATTTTTTTTTTATCGTCAGCTGAAATGAATATATAAATATTTGGCCTCCAGTTTCCAATCTTCCGCTGCCCCTGCATCTACTAGACAATTATTGATTGTGCGCAAAAATGTTTAAAAAAGAAATAAAACATTAGGTATTAACCAACAAGTATAATTTAGATCGTTTGAAAAACCCGCTTTTCGGTGGAGAGCGCTATATCCGTCGAATAAACGCGGCTGGGCAGTGAAACATCAAAATTCACTACCAATTATTCATTACCTGGATTAGTAGTGGGTGGAATGGTGCCTGTAAAGAGAAAAGGAATTCTTCCATATTTTATTTTATGTAATTTATGCAGCGGCGTAGGGGAGGTGAATATGCAAATATTCAGTTCTACCCGACGGGGCTGTATTTTAAGCTGTTGGACTTTCAAGTGTAATCCATCCGGCTGAATTAAATAATGAACACTCACCCCCAAATTTCGTTCTAGTTACGCCACTGAATTTATGTCGAAATATTTTACTTATTCTTAGCTCCTTGAAATGCCAGTAATGGTAATATAGATTACGGCAACTCTAGACGCACGTGTAATCTTGGAATCGGTATATATACTGCCAGCGTTTGAAATCAGTTCAGACTAAATAGGTGTCGCCTTTTTGGATAAATTTTATCGATCAGTTCATATCTTGGATATTAATTTTACCTCGACTTGATGTATAAGAAGGCGTCGTATCTGTGAATAAAAAATATATTTTTGCACTCTCAAAGATTATAATCTCCGTATAATTTTTGTGAGCTGTTAATTCGCCAAACAAGTGAAACGACGGCACGGCATAATATACAAAGAAGACAATTTATAAAAGCTAAAATTTTACTAGCTCTGTTCAATTTTCAAGAAAAAGATTGATGATTTTACCTGGACTAGATGTATTAGAAGGTCTTGTTGCGTTGGCTATAAAAAAAACAAATAAACTTAATTTTTTACAAATTGGTAACATTTTTCTGACCTTCTCTCTCCATGCACGAACCACGGATTGTCTTTTGATTTGCGCCATAAATCTAAATGGCTGCAAATAAATTTTGAAGCGGGATAAAAAAGAGAGAATATAGCGGTTTGTATCAGAAATTTTCTGCGTCCAGTTTGGAACAAATACTTATCGCTTTCCCAGGATGCTTTTGTTGCTCTGACAATTTTTTGACCGATATGTTGACAATCTCTCAGCGTGATATCTTTTTAACTATTTCGGACCTTCGGACAAGATTCCTCTTGTGTCGTTAGTGTCGGGGGGGGGGCAATTATTCATATATTCATGTTTGGCAAAATTAGTTCCTTATGAAATTGATTGTTTTTACGCTATATAAATATTTGCCCTGATGTTAACGATCTTCCGTGACCTCTGTCTTCTAGATAATTATTAACTTTTTCAAGCAGCACAAAAATGTTTAAAAGATTAATAAAATTTTAGATATTAATCAAAAAAATAATTTATAGATCGATGGAAAACTTGCTATTCGGTGGATAGCGCCATTTGTCGAATAACCGCGACTGGGCAGTGAAACATCAACATCAACATTGAGTACCAATTATTTATTACCTGGATTAGTAGTGGGTGCAATGGTGCCTGTAAAGAGAAAACGAAATTCCTCTTTATTTTATTTTATGTAACTTATGCAGCGTTGCAGTGGTGGTGAATATTCATATACTCAGTTCTACCCGACGGAGCTGTATTTTAAGCTATTGCACTTGCAAGTGTAATCCGTCCGGCAGCATTAAATATATGAATACTCACCCCCCCAAATTTCAATCTAGTTACGCCACTGAATTAATGTCGAAATATTTTTCTTATTCTTAGCTCCTTGAAATGCCAGTAATAGTAATAAAGATATCGTTACATGTTAACGAATGTCTAAATTAACCCAGCGCACTATGACAGCTAAGTTGTCCCCTGCACAAATAAATTACTTCATTTAAATTATGTCGCTCATTTACGACCCGCTGCTTACGTCGACCAGGTCATTGACATATCAAATTACGCGACTCCAATACACAATTGACTTATAGCGCATCTTGATCTGGTTGAAGACTATTGGGTTTATTAACCCTTGCTTATCGCTGCCAGGTAAATAAATTGACGGTGACTCGAGGCGTGTGGCCTTTTTTGGATTAAATTTTATCGATCAGTTCATATCTTAGATATTAATTTTACCTGGACTTGATGTATAAGAAGGCGTCGTATCTGTTAATAAAAAATATTTTTTTTACATTCTCAAAGATTATAATCACTGTTTAAATTCTGTCAGCTGTTAATTAGCCAAACAAGTGAAACAACTTAACAGCTTAGTATACAAAGAAGACCATTTTTAAACGCCAAAAATTCGCAGTTCGCTCACCTTAATTTTCAAGAAAAAGATTGATGATTTTACCTGGATTAGATGTATTAGAAGATCTTGTCGCGTTGCCTATAAAGAAAATAAATGTATGTAAATGTAAATGTGTGCCATAAATGTAACTGGCTGCAAATAAATTTTGAAACGGGATAAAAAACGGCAAACAAGGGCCGAAAAGATTATGTTAAAGGAGCGAAGAGCTGTCAAACTTAATTTTTGTATCAACTATATACCTAATTAATAATGTTAGTTTGTACAATCTTTTCGACAACGAAAATTCTTCTAAAAACTGTTTTACACATCTGCAGTCGTATCGTAGCGAGATGTGGCGTATTTCCTTGTTTAAGAATCGTAGCAAAACGTGGTGAATCTTTAATCTTTATCTCATCGATTCATTCTACGTGCGATTCGTTGCAATGCGAAACGGACCTAAAGCCTTATTGAATGCATGGTTTGTTTCTGACAATCATGCTAAGGGTTAATTTGAATCGATTTGATCGATTGAAAAACCTGCTATTAGTCGGATAACCGCATCTGGGCAGTGAAATATCAACATTGAGTACCAATTATAGTTATTACCTGGATTAGTAGTGGGTGGAATGGTGCCTGTTAAGAGAGAAGGAAATTCATCCATGTATTTTTTTTTTGTAATTTATGCGGCGGCGTAGGGGAGGTGAAATATTATATATTCAGTTCTATACCCGACGGTAGCTCACCCCACAAATTTCGTTCAAGTTACGCCACTGAATATATGTCGAAATATTTTTCTTATGCTTAGCTTTTTGAAAGGCCAGTAATAATGATATAGATTACATGTTAACGAATAACTCAATTAACCTATGGATTATTTCATTTCAATTATTTCCCTCATACGACCCGCTGCTGATGTCGACCAGGTCATTGCATGAAATGTCAAATTACGTAACTCAAATACACAAGTGCCTTATAGCATCTTGGTCGGGTTGAAGACCATTAAGTTTATTATCCCTTTGCTCATCGCTGCCAGTATATACTGCAACCGGTATAATTATATTGCAAGCGTTTGAAATCAGTTAAAAAAAAAAAAAGAGTTGCCTTTTTTAGATTAAATTTTATCGATCAGTTCATATCTTAGATATTAATTTTACCTGGACTTGATATATAAGAAGGCGTTGTATCTGTTAATAAAAAAATATTTTTTTACACTCTCAAAGATTATAATCACTGTTTAAACTCTGTCAGCTGTTAATTAGCCAAACAAGTGAAACAACTTAACAGCTTAGTATACAAAGAAGACCATTTTTAAACGCTAAAAATTCACAGTTCGCTCAGCTTAATTTTCAAGAAAAAGATTAATGATTTTACCTGGATTAGATGTATTAGAAGATCTTGTCGCGTTGCCTATAAAAAATAAATGTATGTAAATGTAAATGTGTGCCATAAATGTAACTGGCTGCAAATAAATTTTGAAACGATATAAAAAACGGCAAACAAGGGCCGACAAGATTATGTTAAAGAAGCGAAGAGCTGTCAAACTTAATTTTTGTATAAACTATACCTAATTAATAATGTTAGTTTGTACAATCTTTTCGACAACGAAAATTCTTCTAAAAACTGTTTTACACATCTGCAGTCGTATCGTAGCGAGATGTGGCGTATTTCCTTGTTTAAGTATCGTAGCAAAACGTGGTGAATCTTTAATCTTTATATCTCATCCATTCATTTTACGCGCGATTCGTTGCAATGCGAAAACGGACCTAAAGCTTTATTGAATGCATGGTTTTTTCTGACAATCATGCTAAGGGGTTAATTTGAATCGATTTGATCCATTAAAAAACCTGCTATTCGTCGGATAACCGCATCTGGGCAGTGAATTATCAACATTGAGTACCAATTATTTATTACCTGGATTAGTAGTGGGTGGAATGGTGCCTGTTGAGAGAAAAGGAAATTCATCCATGTATTTTTTTATGTAATTTATGCGGCGGCGTAGGGGAGGTGAATATTTATATATTCAGTTCTATACCCGGCAGTAGCTCACCCCACAAATTTCGTTCTAGTTACGCCACTGAATTTATGTCGAAATATTTTTCTTATGCTTAGCTCCTTGAAAGGCCAGTAATAATGATATAGATTACATGTTAACGAATAACTCAATTAACCTATGGATTATTTCATTTCAATTATGTCCCTCATACGACCCGCTGCTGACGTCGACCAGGTCATTGCATGAAATGTCAAATTACGTAACTCAAATACACAAGTGCCTTATAGCATCTTGGTCGTGTTGAAGATTATTAAGTTTATTATCCCTTGCTTATCGCTGCCAGTATATACTGCAATCGGTACAATTATACTGCAAGCGTTTGAAATCAGTTCAAACAAAATAAGTGTTGCCTTTTTTAGATCAAATTTTATCGATCAGTTCATATCTTAGATATTAATTTTGCTCGACTTGATGTATAAGAGGGCGTCGTATCTGTTATTATGAAATATTTTATTTTTGCACATCCTTAAAGATTGTAATTACCTTTAATTTTTGTCATATGTTAATTTGCCAAACAATGAAAACGACTTAACAGCATATTATACAAAGAACACCATCTACAAAAGCTAAAAGTTCGCTTAGTTCAATTTTTAAGAAAAAGATTGATGATTTTACCTGGATTAGATGTATTAGAAGGTCTTGTCGCGTTGCCTATAAAGAAAATAAAATAACTGAAATTTTCTAAAATTGGTAAGAGTTTTCTGACCTTCTCTCTCCTTTCACGAACCACGGATTGTCTTTTAATTTGCGCCATAAATGTGACTGGAAATCAGTCGCCTGATATTCAAATAACATGCAAAATATGTATTCGCACTCATCAAAGGTTCACAGAATACAGAAATGAAAAGTTACTGAATACAAATAAAATTGCTTTAGTTCACGACATGTTTTTGATCAATGTTTTTTTAAACAGAGGATTTTTACCAGTGGGGTGGGGTCGGGGAAAACATGGGGATAAGGCCCCTCATGATCTATATGTTAAAAGAGGCCCAATATGACTAGATCTGATTGTAGCAAATTAGGTATGAAGCCATTTTACATGCTATTCCATCTCCACTAAAGCCAAAGTTGCAAGAACAGTCGAACGACCCATTGGTATTGCGACATGATGCTTGAGAATGACAGTTATCAATTCCAAGTTCACATTCATTGATATCTAAGATATTACAATATAAAATACATAAACTCCCATATTTTGAACGGTTAAATCTATGTTTTTTTAACCAAAAAGAGGAAATTATATTGCAAGGGAATTATGAATTATCCTCGTCAATTTTTTTGCAAAATATTACCAAATACCATGCAAATAATTAGTATAAAGATGCAAACCTGTGCAGGTTACGCCATCTCCGGTATAACCGTTTTCACAAATGCAGTAAAACGATTCATTCGTATTGACACATGACGCTCCAATAGCGCAGTTGTGTGTTCCAAAGTAACATTCATTTACATCTAAAATATAATATTTACATAGACATTTTTAGAATACTTCAATTTTACTACCAGGCAGTTACTCTGACTCAGAGTGTCAGTCTGTTTTGTTCTTAACCCTAATTTTCTTACGAGCAGAAAATAGAACAAACTTTTATAAGTTTTAATATTTTCTTGCCGATATATTTTGAAACTTATTTCTTACCTAATGGTGTTGAATAGTTCAGAACAAATCCCGGTGCTGACACGCTATAATCCGAGTGAAACACGATGAAGAGTTTGAGTCCAGATGATACCAGGCTTCTTGGTAATTGGTTTCCACAGAATCTGCCCAGTTTCGTCGTATTTGCTGAATCTCCATTATAAACTTCCAAATAGTCAAATCCACAACTGTAACTACCTTCCAGCTAAAACGTCATGCAATTTTTGTAAATTATTTGTCAATTTTGCACATACGAATTAAATTGATTTTAAACTGTTTAACGGTTTAAACTATACTATTCTACGAATTTCTAAGTTCAGTCAATGAAAGATTGCTAATATTCAATTGATAGTGCAATCGTCTGCTGATTAGCTCAAAGTGTACGGATATTTTTGAATGTTCTCGTTGTTGTCTGTTGAGGGTATTTGTCGCGCCAGCTTGTTATCTTTTCTACACAAGGAAATTCGCCATGAAAAGGCTTGTTTTTTTTCGAAATTCAATGAATAATAAGACAATTATTCAAGTCGGCTTTCGCAAGTTATCTAGGATATACTGACATTGACCTCTGCCTGAACATTCCGGATACCCTGCGCTCCCTCATCCAATAATTATATTGGAATCGTCACTTCTGGTGAAATGGAGCTAAGTGTTTGGTTGAGAAGAATTTACTTCCATATAAAATTCAGCTATTTATATCATAATATTTCCCCTCATGCAGTTGTCCAATAAAAAGATAATTTTGTTTTCCACTTTGAACTTATAAGTCTTAGGAGCAATAAATTAGGTAAAAGTAGCCTACCAAGAATGAAGTAAACTGTAGTAAAATTTTTCTTCCATTGGTGCTGGAAATGGTCCAACTGCAATCCATGTAGTGAGGGTATGAAAGGGGATAAAGAGGGCTTGTGAGTTTTCCAGGAGGATACAGTTGACTTTCGCCGCATAATTCTGGAAATATTATTCACACAAACTTATTGAAGGATAGAGCAAAGTGGAATTTATCGCCGATTATTTATTATTAGAATAGTAAATAGGAACATGTTCAAACTTGAATTAGCCTAGACCTATATAGGGGCAAAAGAGCATTAATTGAGGTAGGGAGCAATTATTCATATCTTCATGTTCGGCAATATTAGTTTCTTATTCCTCAATGCAAAAAATAATGAAAACGCAATGCCAAAGCCCTGTTTTCAAATATGCATCGTTAATGATAATTACTAATAGGAACTGTTACCTGGCGCTGATGTCGTAAAATTTCGTGGCATGTTTTTCGCTGTGAAGAAATAAATTAGTATAATTATTCTTCCGCATCAACTTATTTTGTTTGAGTTTGCATACTATTTAATTATGACTGCAATTGGAAATTATGGATTCCTTGTGAGTCTTGTAACAGTCATGCTAAGGGTTAATTTTTGTCTTAACTTCAACGAAATAAAAAAGATATCAAATTCAAGCGAAGAACTGCTGAGAAAAATGTGTCAACTATGGACGATTAAATCTTTATTAGCCAACACCTACGGCGGATTGCATGCATGTACGAAGGTTGGATATTCCTTTACATAGCAGGGGCCACGAAAGATCGTTAGCTTCGCGGGGGGGGGAAATTATTCATATTTTCGGGTTAGCAATATTAGTTTCCTACGAAATTTTTTTTTTATCGTCAGCTGAAATGAATATATAAATATTTGGCCTCCAGTTTCCAATCTTCCGCTGCCCCTGCATCTACTAGACAATTATTGATTGTGCGCAAAAATGTTTAAAAAAGAAATAAAACATTAGGTATTAACCAACAAGTATAATTTAGATCGTTTGAAAAACCCGCTTTTCGGTGGAGAGCGCTATATCCGTCGAATAAACGCGGCTGGGCAGTGAAACATCAAAATTCACTACCAATTATTCATTACCTGGATTAGTAGTGGGTGGAATGGTGCCTGTAAAGAGAAAAGGAAATTCTTCCATATTTTATTTTATGTAATTTATGCAGCGGCGTAGGGGAGGTGAATATGCAAATATTCAGTTCTACCCGACGGGGCTGTATTTTAAGCTGTTGGACTTTCAAGTGTAATCCATCCGGCTGAATTAAATAATGAACACTCACCCCCAAATTTCGTTCTAGTTACGCCACTGAATTTATGTCGAAATATTTTACTTATTCTTAGCTCCTTGAAATGCCAGTAATGGTAATATATATTACGGCAACTCTAGACGCACGTGTAATCTTGGAATCGGTATATATACTGCCAGCGTTTGAAATCAGTTCAGACTAAATAGGTGTCGCCTTTTTGGATAAATTTTATCGATCAGTTCATATCTTGGATATTAATTTTACCTCGACTTGATGTATAAGAAGGCGTCGTATCTGTGAATAAAAAATTATTTTTGCACTCTCAAAGATTATAATCTCCGTATAATTTTTGTGAGCTGTTAATTCGCCAAACAAGTGAAACGACGGCACAGCATAATATACAAAGAAGACAATTTATAAAAGCTAAAATTTTACTAGCTCTGTTCAATTTTCAAGAAAAAGATTGATGATTTTACCTGGACTAGAAGTATTAGAAGGTCTTGTTGCGTTGCCTATAAAAAAACAAATAAACTGAATTTTTTACAAATTGGTAACATTTTTCTGACCTTCTCTCTCCATGCAGGAACCACGGATTGTCTTTTGATTTGCGCCATAAATCTAAATGGCTGCAAATAAATTTTGAAGCGGGATAAAAAAGAGAGAATATAGCGGTTTGTATCAGAAATTTTTCTGCGTCCAGTTTGGAACAAATTCTTATCGCTTTCCCAGGGTGCTTTTTGTCGCTCTGACAATTTTTTGACCGATATGTTGACAATCTCTCAGCGTGATGTCTTTTTAACTATTTCGGACCTTCGGACAAGATTCCTCTGGTGTCGTTAGTGTCAGGCGGGGGGGGGGCAATTATTCATATATTCATGTTTGGCAATATTAGTTCCTTATGAAATTGATTGTTTTTACGCTATATAAATATTTGCCTTGATGTTAACGATCTTCCGTGACCTCTGTTTTCTAGATAAATATTAACTTTTTCAAGCAGCACAAAAATGTTTAAAAGATTAATAAAATTTTAGATATTAATCAAAAAAATAATTTATAGATCGATGGAAAAACTTGCTATTCGGTGGATAGCGCCATTTGTCGAATAACCGCGACTGGGCAGTGAAACATCAACATTGAGTACCAATTATTTATTACCTGGATTAGTAGTGGGTGCAATGGTGCCTGTAAAGAGAAAACGAAATTCCTCTTTATTTTATTTTATGTAACTTATGCAGCGTTGCAGTGGTGGTGAATATTCATATACTCAGTTCTACCCGACGGAGCTGTATTTTAAGCTATTGCACTTGCAAGTGTAATCCGTCCGGCAGCATTAAATATATGAATACTCACCCCCCCAAATTTCAATCTAGTTACGCCACTGAATTAATGTCGAAATATTTTTCTTATTCTTAGCTCCTTGAAATGCCAGTAATAGTAATAAAGATATCGTTACATGTTAACGAATGTCTAAATTAACCCAGCGCACTATGACAGCTAAGTTGTCCCCTGCACAAATAAATTACTTCATTTAAATTATGTCGCTCATTTACGACCCGCTGCTTACGTCGACCAGGTCATTGACATATCAAATTACGCGACTCCAATACACAATTGACTTATAGCGCATCTTGATCTGGTTGAAGACTATTGGGTTTATTAACCCTTGCTTATCGCTGCCAGGTAAATAAATTGACGGTGACTCGAGGCGTGTGGCCTTTTTTGGATTAAATTTTATCGATCAGTTCATATCTTAGATATTAATTTTACCTGGACTTGATGTATAAGAAGGCGTCGTATCTGTTAATAAAAAATATATTTTTTTTACATTCTCAAAGATTATAATCACTGTTTAAATTCTGTCAGCTGTTAATTAGCCAAACAAGTGAAACAACTTAACAGCTTAGTATACAAAGAAGACCATTTTTAAACGCCAAAAATTCGCAGTTCGCTCACCTTAATTTTCAAGAAAAAGATTGATGATTTTACCTGGATTAGATGTATTAGAAGATCTTGTCGCGTTGCCTATAAAAAAATAAATGTATGTAAATGTAAATGTGTGCCATAAATGTAACTGGCTGCAAATAAATTTTGAAACGGGATAAAAAACGGCAAACAAGGGCCGAAAAGATTATGTTAAAGGAGCGAAGAGCTGTCAAACTTAATTTTTGTATCAACTATATACCTAATTAATAATGTTAGTTTGTACAATCTTTTCGACAACGAAAATTCTTCTAAAAACTGTTTTACACATCTGCAGTCGTATCGTAGCGAGATGTGGCGTATTTCCTTGTTTAAGAATCGTAGCAAAACGTGGTGAATCTTTAATCTTTATATCTCATCGATTCATTCTACGTGCGATTCGTTGCAATGCGAAACGGACCTAAAGCCTTATTGAATGCATGGTTTGTTTCTGACAATCATGCTAAGGGTTAATTTGAATCGATTTGATCGATTGAAAAACCTGCTATTCGTCGGATAACCGCATCTGGGCAGTGAAATATCAACATTGAGTACCAATTATAGTTATTACCTGGATTAGTAGTGGGTGGAATGGTGCCTGTTAAGAGAGAAGGAAATTCATCCATGTATTTTTTTTTTGTAATTTATGCGGCGGCGTAGGGGAGGTGAATATTTATATATTCAGTTCTATACCCGACGGTAGCTCACCCCACAAATTTCGTTCAAGTTACGCCACTGAATATATGTCGAAATATTTTTCTTATGCTTAGCTTTTTGAAAGGCCAGTAATAATGATATAGATTACATGTTAACGAATAACTCAATTAACCTATGGATTATTTCATTTCAATTATGTCCCTCATACGACCCGCTGCTGACGTCGACCAGGTCATTGCATGAAATGTCAAATTACGTAACTCAAATACACAAGTGCCTTATAGCATCTTGGTCGGGTTGAAGACCATTAAGTTTATTATCCCTTTGCTCATCGCTGCCAGTATATACTGCAACCGGTATAATTATATTGCAAGCGTTTGAAATCAGTTAAAAAAAAAAAAGTGTTGCCTTTTTTAGATTAAATTTTATCGATCAGTTCATATCTTAGATATTAATTTTACCTGGACTTGATATAAGAAGGCGTTGTATCTGTTAATAAAAAAATTTTTTTTTACATTCTCAAAGATTATAATCACTGTTTAAACTCTGTCAGCTGTTAATTAGCCAAACAAGTGAAACAACTTAACAGCTTAGTATACAAAGAAGACCATTTTTAAACGCTAAAAATTCACAGTTCGCTCAGCTTAATTTTCAAGAAAAAGATTGATGATTTTACCTGGATTAGATGTATTAGAAGATCTTGTCGCGTTGCCTATAAAGAAAATAAATGTATGTAAATGTAAATGTGTGCCATAAATGTAACTGGCTGCAAATAAATTTTGAAACGATATAAAAACGGCAAACAAGGGCCGACAAGATTATGTTAAAGAAGCGAAGAGCTGTCAAACTTAATTTTTGTATAAACTATACCTAATTAATAATGTTAGTTTGTACAATCTTTTCGACAACGAAAATTCTTCTAAAAACTGTTTTACACATCTGCAGTCGTATCGTAGCGAGATGTGGCGTATTTCCTTGTTTAAGTATCGTAGCAAAACGTGGTGAATCTTTAATCTTTATATCTCATCCATTCATTTTACGCGCGATTCGTTGCAATGCAAAACGGACCTAAAGCTTTATTGAATGCATGGTTTGTTTCTGACAATCATGCTAAGGGTTAATTTGAATCGATTTGATCCATTAAAAAACCTGCTATTCGTCGGATAACCGCATCTGGGCAGTGAATTATCAACATTGAGTACCAATATATTTATTACCTGGATTAGTAGTGGGTGGAATGGTGCCTGTTGAGAGAAAAGGAAATTCATCCATGTATTTTTTTATGTAATTTATGCGGCGGCGTAGGGGAGGTGAATATTTATATATTCAGTTCTATACCCGGCAGTAGCTCACCCCACAAATTTCGTTCTAGTTACGCCACTGAATTTATGTCGAAATATTTTTCTTATGCTTAGCTCCTTGAAAGGCCAGTAATAATGATATAGATTACATGTTAACGAATAACTCAATTAACCTATGGATTATTTCATTTCAATTATGTCCCTCATACGACCCGCTGCTGACGTCGACCAGGTCATTGCATGAAATGTCAAATTACGTAACTCAAATACACAAGTGCCTTATAGCATCTTGGTCGTGTTGAAGATTATTAAGTTTATTATCCCTTGCTTATCGCTGCCAGTATATACTGCAATCGGTACAATTATACTGCAAGCGTTTGAAATCAGTTCAAACAAAATAAGTGTTGCCTTTTTTAGATCAAATTTTATCGATCAGTTCATATCTTAGATATTAATTTTGCTCGACTTGATGTATAAGAGGGCGTCGTATCTGTTATTATGAAATATTTTATTTTTGCACATCCTTAAAGATTGTAATTACCGTTTAATTTTTGTCATATGTTAATTTGCCAAACAATGAAAACGACTTAACAGCATATTATACAAAGAACACCATCTACAAAAGCTAAAAGTTCGCTTAGTTCAATTTTTAAGAAAAAGATTGATGATTTTACCTGGATTAGATGTATTAGAAGGTCTTGTCGCGTTGCCTATAAAGAAAATAAAATAACTGAAATTTTCTAAAATTGGTAAGAGTTTTCTGACCTTCTCTCTCCTTTCACGAACCACGGATTGTCTTTTAATTTGCGCCATAAATGTGACTGGAAATCAGTCGCCTGATATTCAAATAACATGCAAAATATGTATTCGCACTCATCAAAGGTTCACAGAATACAGAAATGAAAAGTTACTGAATACAAATAAAATTGCTTTAGTTCACGACATGTTTTTGATCAATTTTTTTTAAACAGAGGATTTTTACCAGTGGGGTGGGTCGGGGAAAACATGGGGATAAGGCCCCTCATGATCTATATGTTAAAAGAGGCCCAATATGACTAGATCTGATTGTAGCAAATTAGGTATGAAGCCATTTTACATGCTATTCCATCTCCACTAAAGCCAAAGTTGCAAGAACAGTCGAACGACCCATTGGTATTGCGACATGATGCTTGAGAATGACAGTTATCAATTCCAAGTTCACATTCATTGATATCTAAGATATTACAATATAAAATACATAAACTCCCATATTTTGAACGGTTAAATCTATGTTTTTTTAACCAAAAAAGAGGAAATTATATTGCAAGGGAATTATGAATTATCCTCGTCAATTTTTTTGCAAAATATTACCAAATACCATGCAAATAATTAGTATAAAGATGCAAACCTGTGCAGGTTACGCCATCTCCGGTATAACCGTTTTCACAAATGCAGTAAAACGATTCATTCGTATTGACACATGACGCTCCAATAGCGCAGTTGTGTGTTCCAAAGTAACATTCATTTACATCTAAAATATAATATTTACATAGACATTTTTAGAATACTTCAATTTTACTACCAGGCAGTTACTCTGACTCAGAGTGTCAGTCTGTTTTGTTCTTAACCCTAATTTTCTTACGAGCAGAAAATAGAACAAACTTTTATAAGTTTTAATATTTTCTTGCCGATATATTTTGAAACTTATTTCTTACCTAATGGTGTTGAATAGTTCAGAACAAATCCCGGTGCTGACACGCTATAATCCGAGTGAAACACGATGAAGAGTTTGAGTCCAGATGATACCAGGCTTCTTGGTAATTGGTTTCCACAGAATCTGCCCAGTTTCGTCGTATTTGCTGAATCTCCATTATAAACTTCCAAATAGTCAAATCCACAACTGTAACTACCTTCCAGCTAAAACGTCATGCAATTTTTGTAAATTATTTGTCAATTTTGCACATACGAATTAAATTGATTTTAAACTGTTTAACGGTTTAAACTATACTATTCTACGAATTTCTAAGTTCAGTCAATGAAAGATTGCTAATATTCAATTGATAGTGCAATCGTCTGCTGATTAGCTCAAAGTGTACGGATATTTTTGAATGTTCTCGTTGTTGTCTGTTGAGGGTATTTGTCGCGCCAGCTTGTTATCTTTTCTACACAAGGAAATTCGCCATGAAAAGGCTTGTTTTTTCGAAATTCAATGAATAATAAGACAATTATTCAAGTCGGCTTTCGCAAGTTATCTAGGATATACTGACATTGACCTCTGCCTGAACATTCCGGATACCCTGCGCTCCCTCATCCAATAATTATATTGGAATCGTCACTTCTGGTGAAATGGAGCTAAGTGTTTGGTTGAGAAGAATTTACTTCCATATAAAATTCAGCTATTTATATCATAATATTTCCCCTCATGCAGTTGTCCAATAAAAAGATAATTTTGTTTTCCACTTTGAACTTATAAGTCTTAGGAGCAATAAATTAGGTAAAAGTAGCCTACCAAGAATGAAGTAAACTGTAGTAAAATTTTTCTTCCATTGGTGCTGGAAATGGTCCAACTGCAATCCATGTAGTGAGGGTATGAAAGGGGATAAAGAGGGCTTGTGAGTTTCCAGGAGGATACAGTTGACTTTCGCCGCATAATTCTGGAAATATTATTCACACAAACTTATTGAAGGATAGAGCAAAGTGGAATTTATCGCCGATTATTTATTATTAGAATAGTAAATAGGAACATGTTCAAACTTGAATTAGCCTAGACCTATATAGGGGCAAAAGAGCATTAATTGAGGTAGGGAGCAATTATTCATATCTTCATGTTCGGCAATATTAGTTTCTTATTCCTCAATGCAAAAAATAATGAAAACGCAATGCCAAAGCCCTGTTTTCAAATATGCATCGTTAATGATAATTACTAATAGGAACTGTTACCTGGCGCTGATGTCGTAAAATTTCGTGGCATGTTTTTCGCTGTGAAGAAAAATAGTATAATTATTCTTCCGCATCAACTTATTTTGTTTGAGTTTGCATACTATTTAATTATGACTGCAATTGGAAATTATGGATTCCTTGTGAGTCTTGTAACAGTCATGCTAAGGTTAATTTTTGTCTTAACTTCAACGAAATAAAAAAGATATCAAATTCAAGCGAAGAACTGCTGAGAAAAATGTGTCAACTATGGACGATTAAATCTTTATTAGCCAACACCTACGGCGGATTGCATGCATGTACGAAGGTTGGATATTCCTTTACATAGCAGGGGCCACGAAAGATCGTTAGCTTCGCGGGGGGGGGAAATTATTCATATTTTCGGGTTAGCAATATTAGTTTCCTACGAAATTTTTTTTTTATCGTCAGCTGAAATGAATATAATATTTGGCCTCCAGTTTCCAATCTTCCGCTGCCCCTGCATCTACTAGACAATTATTGATTGTGCGCAAAAATGTTTAAAAAAGAAATAAAACATTAGGTATTAACCAACAAGTATAATTTAGATCGTTTGAAAAACCCGCTTTTCGGTGGAGAGCGCTATATCCGTCGAATAAACGCGGCTGGGCAGTGAAACATCAAAATTCACTACCAATTATTCATACCTGGATTAGTAGTGGGTGGAATGGTGCCTGTAAAGAGAAAAGGAAATTCTTCCATATTTTATTTTATGTAATTTATGCAGCGGCGTAGGGGAGGTGAATATGCAAATATTCAGTTCTACCCGACGGGGCTGTATTTTAAGCTGTTGGACTTTCAAGTGTAATCCATCCGGCTGAATTAAATAATGAACACTCACCCCAAATTCGTTCTAGTTACGCCACTGAATTTATGTCGAAATATTTTACTTATTCTTAGCTCCTTGAAATGCCAGTAATGGTAATATAGATTACGGCAACTCTAGACGCACGTGTAATCTTGGAATCGGTATATACTGCCAGCGTTTGAAATCAGTTCAGACTAAATAGGTGTCGCCTTTTTGGATAAATTTTATCGATCAGTTCATATCTTGGATATTAATTTTACCTCGACTTGATGTATAAGAAGGCGTCGTATCTGTGAATAAAAAATATATTTTTGCACTCTCAAAGATTATAATCTCCGTATAATTTTTGTGAGCTGTTAATTCGCCAAACAAGTGAAACGACGGCACGGCATAATATACAAAGAAGACAATTTATAAAAGCTAAAATTTTACTAGCTCTGTTCAATTTTCAAGAAAAGATTGATGATTTTACCTGGACTAGATGTATTAGAAGGTCTTGTTGCGTTGGCTATAAAAAAAACAAATAAACTTAATTTTTTACAAATTGGTAACATTTTTCTGACCTTCTCTCTCCATGCACGAACCACGGATTGTCTTTGATTTGCGCCATAAATCTAAATGGCTGCAAATAAATTTTGAAGCGGGATAAAAAAGAGAGAATATAGCGGTTTGTATCAGAAATTTTTCTGCGTCCAGTTTGGAACAAATACTTATCGCTTTCCCAGGATGCTTTTTGTTGCTCTGACAATTTTTTGACCGATATGTTGACAATCTCTCAGCGTGATATCTTTTTAACTATTTCGGACCTTCGGACAAGATTCCTCTTGTGTCGTTAGTGTCGGGGGGGGGGCAATTATTCATATATTCATGTTTGGCAAAATTAGTTCCTTATGAAATTGATTGTTTTTACGCTATATAAAATTTGCCCTGATGTTAACGATCTTCCGTGACCTCTGTCTTCTAGATAATTATTAACTTTTTCAAGCAGCACAAAAATGTTTAAAAGATTAATAAAATTTTAGATATTAATCAAAAAAATAATTTATAGATCGATCGGAAAACTTGCTATTCGGTGGATAGCGCCATTTGTCGAATAACCGCGACTGGGCAGTGAAACATCAACATCAACATTGAGTACCAATTATTTATTACCTGGATTAGTAGTGGGTGCAATGGTGCCTGTAAAGAGAAAACGAAATTCCTCTTTATTTTATTTTATGTAACTTATGCAGCGTTGCAGTGGTGGTGAATATTCATATACTCAGTTCTACCCGACGGAGCTGTATTTTAAGCTATTGCACTTGCAAGTGTAATCCGTCCGGCAGCATTAAATATATGAATACTCACCCCCCCAAATTTCAATCTAGTTACGCCACTGAATTAATGTCGAAATATTTTTCTTATTCTTAGCTCCTTAATTGAAATGGCAGTAATAGTAATAAAGATATCGTTACATGTTAACGAATGTCTAAATTAACCCAGCGCACTATGACAGCTAAGTTGTCCCCTGCACAAATAAATTACTTCATTTAAACTATGTCGCTCATTTACGACCCGCTGCTTACGTCGACCAGGTCATTGACATATCAAATTACGCGACTCCCAATACACAATTGACCTTATAGCGCATCTTGATCTGGTTGAAGACTATTGGGTTTATTAACCCTTGCTTATCGCTGCCAGGTAAATAAATTGACGGTGACTCGAGGCGTGTGGCCTTTTTTGGATTAAATTTTATCGATCAGTTCATATCTTAGATATTAATTTTACCTGGACTTGATGTATAAGAAGGCGTCGTATCTGTTAATAAAAAATATATTTTTTTTACATTCTCAAAGATTATAATCACTGTTTAAATTCTGTCAGCTGTTAATTAGCCAAACAAGTGAAACAACTTAACAGCTTAGTATACAAAGAAGACCATTTTTAAACGCCAAAAATTCGCAGTTCGCTCACCTTAATTTTCAAGAAAAAGATTGATGATTTTACCTGGATTAGATGTATTAGAAGATCTTGTCGCGTTGCCTATAAAAAATAAATGTATGTAAATGTAAATGTGTGTCATAAATGTAACTAGCTGCAAATAAATTTTGAAACGGGATAAAAAACGGCAAGCAAGGGCCGAAAAGATTATGTTAAAGGAGCGAAGAGCTGTCAAACTTAATTTTTGTATCAACTATATACCTAATTAACAATGTTAGTTTGTACAATCTTTTCGACATCGAATATTCTTCTAAAAACTGTTTTACACATCTGCAGTCGTATAATAGCGAAATGTGGCGTATTTCCTTGTTTAAGTATCGTAGCAAAACGTGGTGAATCTTTAATCTTTATATCTCATCGATTCATTTTACGCGCGATTCGTTGCAATGCGAAACGGACCTAAAGCCTTATTGAATGCATGGTTTGTTTCTGACAATCATGCTAAGGGTTAATTTGAATCGATTTGATCGATTGAAAAACCTGCTATTCGTCGGATAACCGCATCAGGGCAGTGAAATATCAACATTGAGTACCAATTATTTATTACCTGGATTAGTAGTGGGTGGAATGGTGCCTGTTAAGAGAAAAGGAAATTCATCCTTTTTTTTTATGTAATTTATGCGGCGGCGTAGGGGAGGTGAATATTTATATATTCAGTTCTATACCCGACGGTAGCACACCCCACAAATTTCGTTCATGTTACGCCACTGAATTTATGTCGAAATATTTTTCTTATGCTTAGCTCCTTGAAAGGCCAGTAATAATGATATAGATTACATGTTAACGAATAACTCAATTAACCTATGGATTACTTCATTTCAATTATGTCCCTCATACGACCCGCTGCTGACGTCGACCAGGTCATTGCATGAAATGTCAAATTACGTAACTCAAATACACAAGTGCCTTATAGCATCTTGGTCGGGTTGAAAACCATTAAGTTTATTATCCCTTTCCTCGTCGCTGCCAGTATATACTGCAAACAGTATAATTATATTGCAAACGTTTGAAATCAGTTCAAACAAAATAAGTGTTGCCTTTTTTGGATTAAATTTTATCGATCAGTTCATATCTTAGATATTAATTTTGCTCGACTTGATGTATAAGAGGGCGTCGTATCTGTTAATAAAAAATAAGTTTTTGCACATTTTCAAAGATTTTGATCACCGCTTAATTTTCGTCATATGCTAATTTGCCAAACTAGACAGTGAAACGACTTAACAGCATAATATACAAAGACGGCCGTTTTTAAAAGCTAAAAGTCCGCTCAGTTAAACTTTCGAGAAAAAGATTGATAACTTTACCTGGATCAGATGTATTTGAAGGTCTTGTCACGTTGCCTACAAAAAAAACAAAAAACGGAAATTTTTACGTCTACAAATTGGTAACTGTTTTTCGACCTTCTCTCTCAATGCACGAACCACGGATTGTCTTTTGCTTTAAGCCATAAGTGTAACTGGCTGCAAATAAATTTTGAAACGAGATAAGAAATGGCAAAGGACAAACAAAATGAAATTGTTAGAGAATATAGCAGTTTGTGTCAGAAATTGTTCTTCGTCCAGTTA